TATTGAAAATATTCTTAAAAAACCATTTTATATTTATTGGCAAATTTAATAAAATAGAAAAATTTATTAAATATATTCACAATAATTTTTTTAATTTATTTTAAAAATTCAAAACACATCTTATAATAATTTTATAAATTACCTAATGTTAATAACATATTTACAAATGTAAATACTTAATTTCTGCCTCTTTTTACACGATTTGCCTGTTGTAATTCTTATTTTCTCTTACTTAGTATAGACTTAGCTAAACTTAGTCTAGAATTAGCACAGACTACACTACACGAAAAACAGTAAATGTTCATTTTAAGATAATTCATCATTTTAATATTAATTAATTTAAAAATAATTTGAAAATAATTTGAAATTGGGTAAAAATTATTTCATTTTTATATTTATTATAAAATAAAAATAACTTTTAATTTCTTAATTGGTATTTTGAAATTTATTATATCATAAATTCTTTTTGTTTTAGATATTATAAGAGTTTCAAATTAAAAAATATAAAAGTATTATTAATATTATTTATTAAAATAATTATCACTATTATAAAAAATATTTTATTAAAATTTAAATATAAAATTTAAATGTGGAGGCCATATATAAAATATTCCATTTGTATTCAAATTTTGGCAAAAAGATAGATATTTCCATATACAAATGACACTTTAGACGTGTTGTGGAATGTGTGTGATGCACCCCCTGTGAATGTATCCTGGTGCCTTGCAGACTCAGACCAGGAGGATCATTCTCACAACTCTGGCCGAATTAACATCAGAAAGCCGTTAGGTAAGAGTTTGTTAAAATTTCAAATATTCTCCTATATTTTTATATATTCTCACAAGCATTTTTTAAATATTATATCACATGCTTTTTCGCATAAAGATACTATAATTATTATATTAAGCAAACAAGTTAGTAAATGTATTTATTATTTCAGAAAGTTAAAGTATTGATTAAATTACAAGTAAATATCAAGTATTTTTGTATTAATTACATTGCCATTTTCTTTAGAAATAGATGATCGATGGTTTTATATGTACATTTGTAAAATACATAAGCAATTATATATATACATATATATATATATATATATATATATATATGTAAACAAATAATTCTTTTCATTTCAATTGTAAATAATAGTATCAATATGACAAATGTAGATAAGCATTATCATTTAAGTAGACATATAGTATTGATACTGATTTTATTAGAACTCTTTTTTACACGAAAAATCAAAAGATGAACTGTTAAAAATTTATTTGCATATAAGAAATGAATTTATGATTTCTAAATTAATCTGTGTAACTTAAAACAATTTATTCATCTTCAGATTTCGAGGCTGGCGAGGATGGCGATGATAGTAGCGGTGGCGGAAATTCTTGGAGAGAAGAACTTCAACGACGTTATCAACAAGAAAATGATTTTTTGGCTGAATTGCGTGCGCGTAATGTTAATATTTCGCAGACACCATCCGCCACACCATCCAGTGAGCAAGAACAAGAAAGAGGAGAAAGGGAAGAAGCAGATGGAGAGAAAGAAGATGAAAATGAAACCAACTGGACGGAACCGGCAAAGAAATGGGTCAACCGATAAGTTTGTTACATGTCACATTTATACATATGTATTCTAATGGCTTAGAAACTGCTACCAAATGGAAAAAAACGCAAATAAGTTATTGTAGTTTCACCAATTATGATGGATATATATATATAATGGGTGTTAGTACGAAATATAATCAGTACGACATTAGATTTTGGACAATATTTAAAATCTTACATTTTCAAAACTGTTTTAATCAAAAAAAAAAAAAAAAAATAAGAAAAAAGACATAAATAATTGTCAGCTCAGCAGACCGAAATTCAAATAAGATACCTCGATAAAATTTTTTAACAAAACAGATAAAATTAAATAATACATATTTATAGAAAAAATAAATCTATTATTTAATGTTTGTTATTTGTTTTTAACATATTTCATAAAATATAAAATTTTATTTTCCTACTGTGATTAAAATATTATTTTTGTTAGATTTATATTTCAAATATTTATATATTTTCTTTTCTTATGAAACAAATATATTTAAAATTCTTAAATTAACTTTTTTTTTATATGTATATATGTTATTTTTCTTTCTTCTTGTAAATATAATTAAATGCATTAAATATAATGCTACAAATAACTGAAATTAAAGAATATAATTCGCAGTATTTATGGGCCTAAAAGTATAAAAACTGATTTTTAAATCGAGTTAAGCAACAAATTTTTCTCACTTACATAATAACTAATTTTACATACAAAATCTTACATTTCATGTAACTTTATCATAAAAATTTGAAACGACATTAACATAAACTTGAGCGCTCAATACGAAATGATCTATTTAATCTATTGTGTGTAGAGATGATTAAAAATGAGATAAATTTTTGCACAGATCTCTTTGATCAACTTTATATAAGAAAGTAAGTAGGTATATAATTAAAAACTTTTTTAAAGTCATAATAAAAAATATTGTTAACAAACGCTTATAATTAGTTGCAGAGTCTCGAGTTTTTTTGTACATTCATACGAATTAGATATAATATTCAATATAAACTTTATAATCGTTAAAAATTGAAATTATAGTATACACATTTTAAATATATTTCATTATATGCTTAATATGTGTAGTTACATGAAACATATTTAAATATTATAAGAATTATAATTTTTTATGTATTGTAACTTTTGTAATGCATTCCATCTTTTTTCTTCTTTTTTAAAATAATATGCACTTCGGAGCTAATGATTCATAAATAAAATCTTTTCTTTTATATTATCATATAAAATAAAATAATTATGTTCTTATTCTCATTAATAATTTAAATGTGTGCAATAACTCGAGATTGTTAAATCTAACCAGGTTAATTCAAGCTAGAAATTTTGAAAATATATCTTAAATTATACGAATTGTCAAAATGTGATAATACTTATGTTGATAATAAAAAAATAATAATATAAAAACTTCGTTAAAATAAAACTTAAACAAATAACTTCGTTATTTTAAAAATATAATTCGACTGAGTATTTCCTTTTTTGAAAAATGTTATTAAGTTTGTTAGTTTTAAAAAATCTTCAGGAATTTATAATTTGACGAAATCTCTTTATCCTGCTTTATAATGTTTTAATATAAAAATATACCTATTAATGAAATATTTTTGTAATTTTTTTTTATGCTTTATATCTATTGCTCTTTATTTAATAAACTTATTTTCAAAAATGAATCGCTGTCTTTTTAGTAAAAGTTTTTAAAAGTTATTTATAATTATTGAATAGAGAAAAATATTTAAATAAAATTAATCTCAAATTTTCTAAAGACTATTTTAAATTTTTAAAAGTTAAAAAATTTAGCATAGAAATCAAAAAATTAATTTAAATTTTTTAATAACATTGTACATGATACAAAAATGGTAAAAAGATCACATTTCTTATAACAAGAAAAAAAAATATTGCATGAAAACTCTAGATATATTTAGTTTCTGTTTCATTTGCATTCAATGGGAAAGAGATATACGAATATTCAGAATTTTCTAAAAATATGCAATTAGAATAGATCCACTGTGTAAACAATACATTATTATACTCTTATAATTTTAAATATATATTTAGAGATACATATGTATTTCTGGAATTTAAATTCAACAGATTCGATTCAATCTATATGTGGAATATGTAATTTCGAATTCTTGCACACTTAAATTCTATAAGATATTTCATAATAATTATAAATTGGATTAATAACATTTATGTAATATTAGAAAAACTTATTACGATGAAACAAGTTCCTATCATCAAAATGTTTTAAATAATTTACAATAGAATATTATTTATGTACTTGATGAAAGAATATTTATGACCCAGTGGCTTTGAGGTGCTATAACTTAAATATTAAAAAAATAATGTATATAAATTTCATCGATTATATGTTAAAATATTAGCATTCGTAGACAAAATTTTAATGTATTGCTTAGGCATTTTGAACGTATTAGTTTTTGTTAATTTAATTTAATTTTTTAACTTTAATATTTAAAAAATATTAAATTTAAATGCCTAAGTTTTACACAGTAATTATAAATAATACATAAATGCATACATCATATTTGATGTGATTATATAATGTATAAGATTAGAAGAATTGAATTTGTTTTATATGCTATATATTTCCACTTTAGTTCCTAGATTAAATACTATTTCAATAAATAATAACTAAATTGTACTTAATATAGAAAGATGCACATTTTATAATTTTTATGTATTGTATGGTACAATATGGTATATATAAAACATTCTATGTATAGATATATATATATATTTATATGAGTTTTTCCTAATAATCTAATAATCTTCCTTGTCTATATGTAGTAACTACGCGATATAATTATTAAATAAAAAAAAAAATGAAATCATATCATACACTTCTATTAATTTCTACTAAAAACAATTTCTACTAATAATTGATTATGATTTATAATTTCCATTTAAATTTCTTTAAAATAATTTTATTTTGTTTACAAAGTAAAAAAAATATAATAAATTATCATATTAATTAAATATACATTTATATCATAATGTTTATCATGATTTTTATCAAATGAAAATTTTTAATATATTCAAAATTAAATTGAATAAATATTGAATAATATAATAATTGTAAATAAAAATAAAAAGTACAATAAAAATTGAATTATAATAAAAATGAAAAAAATTAAAAAATATATTAAAATATATAATAATTTATAATTCATAATTAATAATAGTTTATTCTATATGAATTAATAATTATTAATTTATAATAATTATTATTTAATTTAGTTAGTATTAAATTATTTAGTTTAGTAATTTAAGAAAATTTTTAAATATATTTTAACATGAAAAGATGAAATTTGAAACAATTGCTATTAGTAAATAAAGATTTACATTAATAAATAAAGGTTAAAATATATAAGATAAATAAGATAATGGATGATTTTATGGATAATAAAGGTAATAAAAATATTTGAAAAAAGATAAAATTATTTTTAATAAATTATATTTGTAGGTAAGAAGAGAAATAATAATAAACGTGAATTATGTTTATTCTATTCTACAATTATATCATTCGAAAAACTATTACTTTTAAAACAAAATATTCGAACATTAATTATAATCGGTCAACGAGATATTACTTCTTTTAGTGCAATTTCGCAATTAACTGAATTGCAAGAACTATGGATTGTTGAATGTGGTATTAAGGTAATAACATAATTCAATATTAATGAAATATTATGAATTAAAATTTTATTTATTTAGGAAATACCATCTTTTAAAGAAAATTGTTTATTAAAAAAACTTTATCTGTATTCCAATGAAATATCTTATATACCAAATTTAGAAACTTGTTCTCATTTGAATATTTTACATCTATCAGGAAATAATATACAAAAACTTGAGGTATATCTATGTTGTTTTTAAAAGTTTTATTTTTATATTTTTATTTTAATTATTTCTATTATTAAATTATATTTCATTAATATATAAATAATATATATATATTTTATATAATAATAATATAATAGTAATAATATATATAGAATTTAGATACATTAACATGGTTACAAGAGCTTAATTTAGCTAATAATAAATTGGAAAGAATAAATAAAATATCCTGGAGAAAATCTGAATTATATAGTTTAAATTTATCAGGAAATCCTTTATGCATTATAAAGGTACATAAAATATTTAAATAAATAATATTTGTGTATATATTAATAATATATATAATTAATAATATTTATATATTAATATGTCTTTTCAACTACTAAGGATATAAAATATTTAGCACAATTGCAAAAATTAGATTCATTAGTATTTGCGGATCCATTATATGGAAATTGTCCTTTGGTAACTTCTTGCAATTATCGTATATATCTTATTCATTATTTACCACATATTAAAAAATTAGATCATTACAAAATATGTGAAAAGGAAAGACGTTGGATCAATCATTTTTTCAAGTATTTATATTATTTTTTATCAGCATTATACAGTATATAATAATATTTTTAAATGAGATTTAAGAAATAAAATTTTATTTTTAGAAAACAAATAATATATTATAATGTATTTTTTCACAAGCAATTAAATATGAATTTGAGTTTATTGAAATATAAATATAGAGAATATAAAAAAAATATGCATTATTTTAAAAATCAATTATATACTATTGGAATAGAAAAGATACTTAAGGTATTATATAATATATATTATATAATATATAATTATAATGTATATATTATATAATATATAGTATAATTATTTTAATGATTAGTAAGTTATTAATTATTTTTTGTTTATTATAAAGAATGATGAAAAGTATTTAAAATATAGAGCATATGATGAATCACAAAATATAATATTGCAAATGAAATTAAACAAAAAACAAATCAAGGAAATGGGAGAAAATCTAATCTTGCAATCTAAAGTATAATCATGACTTAATTATTTGTTTTTTTTTAAATTATCTAAAGTGAATTACTTTTGGTAATTCGATGCTATTTATATATCAGATTTTGCAACAACAATTGCTAATTAATATAAATTATTGTGGGAATATAAATTTTGTTGAATATAATACTGCTTCAGAAAACACAGTTATTCAATTATGTAAACAATTTTTACAAGCATCATTGTGTTCAGTTATAAAAAAGTATGTAAAATATGTTTTCAATTACAATAGTGAAAATTTTTGAAAGTAAAATATTTATAATAATTTTCCCATTTTAAACAGTGGCATAGGTATAACAGATTTAAGGTTACATAAGGTAACAAAAATAAGTAGTAAAGAAATTGACTTGTTAAATATTACTAAAAATAAAAGTTTACAATCGGATGAATGCAATATGATTTTAAGAATTTTAGCTATACCTGGAATAACAGACATTCAAAAATGGCCTTTTAGCTTTCTTCAAAATGACTTATTTAGTAAAGTATTTATATTTCTTCATTTATAATTAAATAACAAAATTTCACTTCTTTTAAAAAAATAAATTATAAAGTAATAAATATTTTAATTATTAGGAAGAAATAACAGTAACTAATTGTTTAGCAGCAGCAGATTGTAACTGGTTAAATAAAGTATTTCCTAAAAAGAAAAATAATAATGCTCTAAGTCTTTACAATATTTATGAAAGAAGTCGTGTTTGTGTACTCATACAAACACCAATTTCTAATTCTATTGAAAAGTAATAATTATAATACTATTTATTTTAATATTATTTTAATATTATTTTTTATATTATAAAAATATAAAAACTTTTATATTTTTATATAGAGTAGATAATGTATATGATTGTTTACATATAAAACATACAAATTATGAAAACAATTCAAATGAAATTTGTCAGATATTTAAGATGATGAATACAAATATAAAAAATCCTATATTTGTAATAGAGTATGAATACGTACTCTATGAATTAAAAAAAGTAATAATTTTTATTATTACAATTTAATATCTTTATTATTTTTGATGACATTCAAAGTTTCATTTACAAAGAATAATTTATATATACTTTATAGGAAGAAGAATATAAAAATCCTGTAACTGCATGTACAACAGATGACATTACATTTACATGTTTATCTAATTCTAATATTATGCAATATATTAATATTGATAAAAAAATTGGAATATACAATCTTGTAAGAATATGTATTTCTGGACAGAAGATAAATGCAATAGATATAGATTTAAATTTGCCTAATTTAAAAGAATTTGATATTTCTTACAATCAATTAAATGAATTTCCAAACTCAGATTTTATAAAAAATGTGCAAATATTAAATATAAGTTTTAATAACATAAAATTATTACATATTAAAAAAACTTTATCTATGCTAAAAGAACTAGACATATCATGGAACATGTTAATGTATTGTTTTGAATGTATTAATATTTTTATAACTTATATACCTAACATGTATAAGCTAAAGATATATAATAATCCTTTTGATGATGTTATTGATCCTCAATTAATTGAACATTTATTACATATAAATTTACCAAAATTACAGTTTATTAATAATTATAAATGTGAAAATCTTAATTTTCCTCAAATTTATTTTCCTTGTGCATTTGGTATGTGTAAATTAAATAACAAACGACGTAATAAATTAATTTATTTAAAACAAAGTATATTAAAAAATATAGAAGAATTAAAATTGTTAGAAAAAAAAAATATAGAACAAGCAAAATACATTCATATATCACATAATTTTACTGTAGCATTAAACATTTTGAAAAGAGCAAGAAATGTGCAAGAATTTTGTGCTACTTGTTGTTTATTGTCTACATTTCCTTCTATAAAACCTTTAAAACATCTAATCAAACTGAATCTTGGAAATAATTTTATTTCAGTGTTAGATAATTTTACTCAAGACAATTTTCCAACATTAAAATATTTAGATTTGACTAATAATCTAATAACAAACTTGGAATCAATGGGAACATTTTATACCTTACAAGAATTTTATTGTGGGAATAATAAAATAAGGAACATAACACAAATAGAAAATATTAAAACTTGGCAAACATTGCATGTTATAGATTTTTGTAATAATCCTATAAGTACAGATGAATTATATAAAAAATTTATCATATTTCATTTAAGTAACATTGAAGTAAGTAAAATCTTTAATTATTTTGAATTATTTATAAAAAATAATTAAAAATTATATGAATGCATATGATTATAATATTACCAGTAGTATATTTCTGGAGAATATGTACGAAATTCTGATATTTCTGAAGCAAGATGTATATTTGGTAATAAATTTGATAAACATATGTTAAATGCAATATATGCAACAGATCATTTAACAAATATTACACAACTGAGTCTAGTTGATTGTTCTTTATCAAAAGTATGTTATTACTTAAAGCATATTGTCAATTTTATAATATTCATTTATTAAATTCTTCTATATATTAGGTGGATCTTTCAGCAGAATTTCTACCACTGTTAGAAAGTTTAGATTTAAGTAAAAATCGAATCACTTATTTATGGGGTCTCCATTCTTTTAAATATTTACGTACATTATGTTTAAGTTATAATTGTCTTGAAACATTTAATGGAAATAATTATGAAAAAAACAATTATATATTCCCAAAATTGTACACTTTATTTTTAGATCATAATTGCATTAAATCAGTAATGAGTATTACTAAACAAAAACTACCAGTAATAAAACATTTATTTTTAAACAATAATTATCTTCAGAATATCAATGGTAATATTTTATATTATTATATATATTTATATATATTTATATTAATATATGTAATATAATTTAATAATTATATTAATTTTATTATTTTTTATAAATTTATATGAAATATTCAGAAATAACTCATTGCTCTACACTGGAATATCTAACTTTAGATTATAATGCAATTGAATTATTAAATGTAGAAGATTTCATTGAAAATAATAATCTGAAGTTTTTATCTCTTGAATATAATAAAATAAAATCATTGGAATTTACAAAATCATTAAAAAAATTACAAAAACTATATGTTGCTTATAATTGTTTAACAGTAAGTAATTCATTAAATATATAGAATAAATATTGAATCTAATAATGAGTAATATTATATTTCAGAATAAAATTGAAATACAATATTTATTATTATTAAAAAATTTAGAAGAAATAACGTTTGAAGGAAATCCTTTTTGTAATGAAATAAATGAAAATAAAATAATTTCTCAAGATTTTGGAATTAAAGATGCAACAATTTAAAAAATTTAGTTTAAAGAAATAAATTTTATTACTTGATTAAATTTATTTAGAATAATTTTAATAAATTATAAAAATATAAAATTTAAATATAAATAAATTATTTGAATAAATTTATATATAATAAATATATACATATAAAATAATCAATAATATTTATACATACTTATTTTATGAATTAATTTTTGCGAATGACTCGTACTTGTTCATCTATATAATTATTATTGCAATTTATAATTTATATATATATTTATATTACATAATTACACAGTGTTACTAAAAGAAACACAAACTCTATGCTATGGAATAGTAGAAGGGAAACAAACTAATGTATGAAAAATAGTTTATTCAACAAGCGAAATAAATAAAAAAAAAGCTATCTGCTCGAATTTGAAGAAGTTATATTCTCAAAATAACAGGATGTATGTTTAAGAATAATTGTTAAAATATTTATTAATTTTGTAATCGGTATATAACTGTTACTTTTCTTCTTCTAATTCTATAAGAATGATTAGGTAAGAGTGAGAAGGAAAAATTATTATTCATATAAATGAAACCTAATATTATTTACCTATATTTATCTACATTATATCATCAAATAAATGGCGATCTATGATTGTATCGTATTGCCATATTTCTCTCTCGTACTCTTGTTAAATTTGGTTAATTATTTTTTTATTAAATTTATGATATTAGATTTTGCACTTTCGGACAATATATAATTTTATATAATTTTACAATATACAATTTTAGACAATATATAAATAATAATAGACACGACTTGTATATAAAGATTCACGAATCAAATTGAAAAAAAAGAAAAAATATTATATTCTGTGAATAAAAAATAATTCACAATATATCATACGTACAAGCAGTTATGTACAAGTGAACTTATATATATACTATGAATTTTTAAATAATTATAAATAACGATGTAAACGTGATATACGAAGAATTACAAAGAACGACAAAAGAATGATATAAGCATATATTTCATATCTTTGAATACTTTACATGAAAAATTTACCAAAACTATTATATTTTATAATTATATAATAATTATAAATAATTTTTTATAAATTATATTATTTTATAAATTATAATTATATTATAATATTATATTATAAATTTTTGATAATATAATATATATATAATAAATTTTTCTCTAGATATCTGTATATTTTTACTATTTTTTTAAATTAAATTTTATTAAAATAAATTATAAAAATTTGAAATAATTACAAATTGAATGCTATTAAATTTATTTTAAAATTTAATTTTTCAAATTTCCAAAATATATATTGTAATAAGCATTAAATTATATTATTAAAATTATAAGAATCAAATTAACGGATAGTAAAAAAATATATATATATATCAGACTTAAAAATTATTAAATTGCATTTTATAAATATTTATACTTTGCTTTGAAAGTAAAAATTTTTATCATTATTTTGTCCATCATTTGTATATCATATAAATGATTTTATCTTTATATGATCTAAGGTTACAAGTTACGATTTAAAAAACAAATGGAATTAGAGACAATATTACGAAAGTCTACAACAGGTAATAAATATATTTATATATTAATAATTATTTATTTTTAATGAGATTTTAATATTATTATTATAACGATTGTAGTAAAAACAATATCAGAAGAAAATGAAAAAAAGGAAGATGAATATTTTCAAAAAATATATGAACAATGGAAGGGCGCTAAAGCTAAAGATAAAGATTTAACTTATAAAGTGATTCCTAAATTTTATTTTAAGGTAATATATACAAAAAAATGAGATTTTAAAACAATTTTTTTCATAATTCTTATTATTTCAGTTACCAAAAGAAGATGAAATTTTACCACAAAAATTACGAGAAGAAACACGAGCATTATTTTTACAAAGACGTTCACGACAATTACTAGATAATAATGAACTTAAAGCATTATGGGTATTATTAGATAAACATCATAGTCCACCTTTATCAGGAGAAGAACAATTAATTAATTATGAAGATTTTAAAAAAGTTGGTAAATTAGCTGGTGCAAAATGTAGTCCATATTTTACTGCAGTTGTATTTGCTAAATTACAACAAGGTGATCCTCATGGTAGAATTAGTATAATGGCACTCTTTAACTATGTTATGAGAAAGGTTTGGTTACACCAAACAAGAATTGGACTTTCTTTATATGATGTTACTGGTCAAGGATATTTAAGAGAATCAGTAAATATTATTTTATATTGTATTTTAATTAAAATGTTCACTGTCTTAAATTTTTCATATTCTATAAATCATTATACAATACTCAGTATTTGTTTTATCATACCCATGCATTTGCATTCATGTAATTTGTATTAAATAAATTTTATTTAAAGTATTTGTTAATTAAAAATATAATATAATTATTTATAATAAATATTCATTTATACATATTTATTAATAAATATTCATTTATTATAAATGAATATTTATACAATTAATGTATTAAGTTAATATAAATTGTTATAATTGATAATGAAATCTAATTTTTATTGTTTGTCTTTTACAGGATTTAGAAAACTATATTTTAGAATTAATACCAACATTACCTCAACTTGAAGGACTTGAGAAATCATTCCATTCATTTTATGTTTGTACAGCAGTAAGAAAATTTTTATTTTTTCTTGATCCTCTTAGAACTGGTAGAGTTAGAATACAAGATATTTTAGCATGTAGTTTTCTTGATGATCTCTTAGAATTGAGAGATGAAGATTTACCCAAAGACTTGCAAGAAGCAAACTGGTTTTCAGCTCCATCAGCTCTCAAAGTTTATGGACAATATTTAAATCTTGATAGAGATCATAATGGAATGCTTAACAAAGAAGAACTTGCAGGGTAATTTAAATGAAATGATAAAACTTATAAATTTAATTTATAGTTATAATAATTTCAATAAGTTGTTTTTAACAGTTATGGCACAGGAACATTAACTGGAGTATTTTTGGAAAGAGTATTTCAAGAATGCTTAACATATGAAGGAGAAATGGATTATAAAACATATTTAGATTTTGTTTTAGCATTAGAAAATCGACATGAACCTCAAAGTTTACATTACTTATTTAGAATTCTTGATATTAATAATCGTGGTTATTTGGATACTTTTTGTCTTAATTACTTTTTTCGTGTATGTACATATTTTATATTAGATAATTTGTATAATATTATATATATAATCTAGATCTATTTATATAAAATTTTCTTTTTGATAAAGTTTTTCAAACTTAAATCTTTCAGGCTATACAAGAACAAATGACAATGCATGGTCAAGAACCAGTGAGTTTTGAAGATGTTAAAGATGAAATATTTGATATGGTAAAACCAGCAGATCCATGTAAAATTACATTACAGGATTTATTATCATGGTATATAAATAATTTATTTATAATTTTGAAATTATAATTTTTAAAAAAAATACAAAAAATTTGTAATTTATATCTATTTTATATTTTATTTTATATTTTTTAGTGGACAGGGTGATACAATGGTCAGTATCTTAATAGAGTTTCATGGATTTTGGGCATATGAAAATCGTGAAGCTATGGCAGCTGATACTGGTGATGAATCATCTCATGTCTGAAAATAAAGATTCATAAAATTGATACATTCCCAACTGTGTAGATTAAATATATCTATAATTTTAAGTAATATTTTACATAATAATAAAGATATCAATTATTATATTTCTAAATTTATTAGAAATTTTAATTTATATAAAAATATTTACTTTAAATGAATTATGATGTATAATTTTAAAAAAATTTTTTTTAAAATTATGTATTATTTAATATTAATTTTTGATATTTAAAAAATCTAAAATTTTTTATATCTAAAGAATATTATATATAATATCTAAAGAATAATATAAATTAGTTTTATATAAAATTTTTTCAAATTTAAAATACTAATTTTTATATTAAATTATATTTATTTATTGTAAAAAATACTTTTTATTCCATCAACCAATAAAAACACTCCATTTCAAATTGACCTATGCAAACGTATATTGCCCCTCTTTGAGTACAGGTTTAATGACGTTTTATATATAGCTCTGCAGTTGCTCCAATCCCACGAAGATTTTTCGGTTGATCTTTGTGTGACGCTTCTTGTCATGTTTGAATTATTCGAAAGTTTTTTCATGTATTATATTATTTTCGTTGAGTTAAAACTGTACCATTGAAACGATAACTATTCAGTGTGAATTTGTATTGTATTTGTCAGCACAAATAATTATAAAGGATTGGTTGAAATAAAAATAATATCGTTTAACATACCATGGACGCATTCACTCAGGTAAAACTCTTTCTTTTAATTGCAACGCACAAATATAACGATAATACTAACGCTAATAAGTATTTGTAGAATTTAAAAAAATATCTATGGTTAATACTTAAAATATTTTTTTTGTTAATAAAATAATAAATTTCAATTAACATTTATTCACCATCTTTTTTTTGTTTTTATTATTATTTTATTGTTATTTTTAATTTTTATTTTTTAAAAGAAAATTTTTAATTTTTTACTTTTATTTTTTTACTTTTATATGAATCAATTTTATATAAATTTTAATAAACTTATTGAAATAATATTATAATATAATATTCATATTATAATATATAATAACTACTAATATCATATATAATAACTATATGAATTATTTATTTTTATTTGTTAATATTTTTAATTAATTAATTTTAAAATAAAAATAAATTGATTTAACTAAACAGCGAATGTTGGAGCGAGCAAAGTCAAGAAGAGAAAAATTAGATATTAAATTATCAAATGCTGGACATGATATAAAAAAAAGGCGTAGTCCTTTAAAGGATGCAAATGCTATTTTAGCTCAAGCTACAAGTAATAAAATTAATAATTTTTTATCTATATTATTATATATATTATTATATATATAATAATAATAAATTACATTTATTTATGTTTATAAAATAAAATATTATAAAATATATTTTTAAATATTAAAATAATTATTTTTTTATTAGTTGCTAAGAGTAAATCTCCAATTAAATCGCCTATGAAAATATCAATAGATGTTACATCTTCAAAATCTCCACGAAAATCTACATCTAAATGTTCTATTGATGAAAATAATGAGCATATAAATAAAGAGAATGGAGAGATCGGACTTTATAATGTAAAGACAAAATTACAAAGGCTTGGTAAGCTGTATTCTGGTAAGTTTCATTTTATAGTATAGCTTGATTTAAATTAATTTGTTTCATTGTATTAAATTAATTTGTTACTTTGTATTAATATCTTATTCTATATTATTTCTGTATAATTGATAAACATAAAAATTTTGTTATAATTATAATTAAAATTGTAATTATTATATTATATATAAAATATATAAAATATATAAAATATATAATATATAAAATATATAAAAATATTTAAAATAAATAAAATATTTATATATTTTATATATAAAATATATAAAAATATTTATTTATATAAAATATATAAAATATAATTATATAACATAAAATATAATTGTTTTACTTTTATATTATTTCTTTCTTTATTATTTTATTATTATTTTATATTGTGATTTTTATAAGATCAAACAATGTTTATAAGTTTAATTCATGAGAAATATAATATATTTTTTTCTTTAGATGATAGTAGCAGAGAATTGAGTTCTCCAATTCATAGAACAGAAGAAAAATTTAATGCAGAAGAAGAAGTTACTGAACAGAAACCATCTAAAAGAGGAGCTAGACTTGATAGATTAGCAGCTCTTGCTTCAACAATTAATAACTGGGAAGATGATCTTTCACATCCAACTTTGGTACGTTCCAATATTAATAATAATGAATAGTTTATATATATTAATAAATAAATTTATTAAGTGATTATTGGTAATATAAATAATTTATAGACTAAATCATCAGATAATAAAACAGATAAAAGACAAGTAAAATTGAATATGCAACTAAAATCTGTCTCAGAACCACAACAGATATTAGAACCACAACAGATATTAGAACCACAACCAAGCACAAGTGGATATATTAAAGAAAATAATAACAGTAAAGATATTTATTTTAAAAAAGAAGAACTTTGTTCTACAAAACAATTAAAATGGGATAAAACTATATTGGAAACATTAGTAAGTATTTTATTTTAAATATAATTTTTTTATATATATGTAAAATTTTTCTAAATCAATTTTTATCAATTTTTATATATAATAATTATATTGAATTATATATAATAATTATATTATAATAATATATTAAATTAGAAAATAATATTATAAAAATATTATATTCTAAATAAGTAAATTTGTCAAATTAAAATATTATTTACAGGAAGCACAAGGCTTTAGTCGTACAAAAAGCGATAATCGTCTTATATATGATTATAAAGTTTGTTCTCAAGGAAAAGATGTGGATTCTCCAAATTCATCACCTAAATATCTTTCACAAAGTCAAGAAATTATTACCACAGTTCGCGAAGAAAAACGTAATAAGAAAATGGAAGACTTTTCAAAACATACCAACATAAAAAGTCCTAATACTCCTGGAAAAACATCAAAAAATGCAATATTGAATACAAATAATGCTCTATTAACACCTAGAATTGGTAACTCTCCTAAAAATTCTACTCAATCTAGCCCAGGTTCTGTATTGAGCAAAGCTTCATTATTTGAATCTAAAAATACAGAAGTAAAAGTAAAAGATCCTATTCAAATGACACTTTCTGAAAGAATGGCACTTTTTGAAAAAAATAAAGGAGAAGCACCATTATTACCTAAGGCACCTCTTACTATGTCTATCCCACCAAAAAAATTACATGAGAAAGACAAAAGTAATTCATCAACATATGTAAACAATACAGGTATTTTTTATGTTATAAATACAAAAATATGGATTATTGTAACTAAAAAATAATAGTTTGTTGTTATCTTATATATGATAATTTTATTATAGTAAAAGAACGAGTTAAAACTGATATTCCCAATAGTGCTGTTAATGTTAATATTCAAAGAGAAAAATTTGAACAAGGATTAAATATACAAGAATTAGAAAATAATATTTTACGTAATACTTATTTAGAGCGACAACGTGAATTGGATATGTTACGTTCCCGTTTTAATAGGAATAAAGAAATGGCACAAGCAGCTGCTGGTTCATATATTAGAACTAGTGAAAGTAGTGAAGGAAAATCAAATTCACCTAAAAATTCTCCAGTTTGTCCAGTAAAACCAACACCTGCACCTGTATGTAGATATTTTATTTTTATTTTATTAAATTTATTATAGAAAAAATTTTATATAGAAAAAAATAAAAAGATAATTAAATATGTAGGATCATGCTGTGCCACCTCCTCCACCACCTCCTCCACAGGTTTCTAATGAAAAAACAATTCCAAATGAAAACAAAAATTTTGAATCAAGTAAAAGACAAAGTAAATATACATATAATAATATATAATTTGATATTTTTTGTTTATATTTAATTTTAATTTTCTATATATAATAGTTATAGGAAATCAAATAAAAACACAACAGGTAAAAGTAGCATCTGAAATTAAACGCATTCGTGTTGCTCCACCTAAACCTGGACATCTTTATCCTAATCTTTCTGAAATTGAAAATACAACAGAAACAGATACAGAATATACTGTCAATAGTACAGAAGCAGAAACTGCTACTTTAGATGAAAAAACTGATACAGAAACTGGAACAGAGGCTGAATATTATGTACATGTATGAATGACTGATAATAAAAGATAAATGATATAATATTAAAAAATTATATTTTATATGATTTTTATAGCTGTATACATTGAATTTGCAGGATAATGGAATTGAGACTGAAAGTGAAGAAGAAAGTGAAGATGTGAATACTAGTCTTGGTAGAAGTATTTTACGTGCTGTAAATGAACAGTCTTTTCTAAGCAAAAAAGTATATATAATGTATCTCAATTTAATAATTATATATAAGAATTTTAGACTTTTGATTTTTACAACATTTAAAAAATAATTGATTATCAAAGATGATTATCAAAAATAGTCAATATAAAATATAAAATATATAATATAAAATATAAAATATAAAAAATACGGGAAATATAATTTTGACGCAGCGGTATCAACCGCAATAAAATATCTTACTTTCTTATAATTATGTCATTTATAATAATATATACTTTACTTAATATTATAATTATATTATATATTATATATTATTATATATTAAAATTTATATTTTATAATAATATATATATTGTACATATAATGTGTATATGTAATATTTTAATTATTATAGAGATCAATTGATCCAGATCCAGATAGTACAACTTCCGATATTTCAGTATTAGATGAAATGGATGAATATTTAGATGAATGTCTTGCACAACAAGAAATACACAGTGGAAATATTTATACAGAAGAAGGACCAACTCCTCCAAAATTAAATAAAGGTGGTAAGAGTCCATCAGCAACTTCAAATTTCAAATATAGAGAAGGGTAAGTTACAAAAACATAAAAATTAAATATCAATATAATTTTAATGCTTATAAATTTGATAATTGTAATAATTATAATAATTATTTTTTATTTTTTAAGATTATCATATCGTTCACCTATGAAAGAAATCTCTTCATCATCTCCTAAAAAAGATGAGCCATATATTGTAGATGGTGAAAATTGTGTACCGTTAATGCATAGTGTCAGTTTTTATAGACGACAACAATCTCAAGTGAGTTAAGTATTAAAAAAGTAGTATTAAGAAATATGTATTAATTTCTAAAATTAAAATTAAATTTTTTAAATTTGAAATTTAAAATTAAAATTAAATTGATTTTAGACACCAAAAACACCAGTACGTATAATATCAAGAACACAAGAATCTACTGATACTTATACTGATGTACAATTTAATGCTAAAAATGAAATAGTTTTGGTAGAAGAAAAAATAAAACGATTGTTAGATGAAGTATGCAAACAACAAACGATTATTGGTCAAGCTAGTCAAGCACTAAATTTATGTACTTCTACTGTAGAATTTAATGGTTCCAGGGAACAAGTTGAAGGAGAAAGATTATTACTTGTTGCCAGTAATTTTATATATATTTTTATATTAAAAATATTCACGAGTTATATAATAATTAAAAACGTTTTCTAATAGCTCATAGACGGCAAGCTGCATTAAATGAAGTTCAACGATTAAAGGTAGAAGGTACCTTAAAACCTGTTAGTCCAGGATCACCAGAAGTACAAGAAAGTGGTTCTCTAACAGTTTCTGCTATTACTTTACCTTTTAAAAAAGGTTATTTTCGTAATATGAGCACAAGTAAGTAAAATATTTCTAGATAATATTAAAAATAATATTTAAAATTTATTTTTTTTAATTTTAAATTCTAGATACATGTCTTCATTTTGTTTGTATGATGCGACATTTAGAAGAAATAGTTGCTACACCAGTAGTTATAGTAGAACCTGGTGATTCATGTCTTCGATTTCCATCAACATTAAAATTAAATGATTTATACAGTGATTTTAAAATTACTGTTGAAATATATTCGTTGCAAACACAACCCGAAATGTTACCACATGAAATCAAATATCATATTAATAATGGTAATGGAAGTAGTATTAATAGCAATAATTGTAATAAAAAGGTAAGTTCATAATAATCATATAATAATTTATATCATATAATTATACATTTCTATTAAATATTTATAAATATTTTGCAGTTGGCGAATAAAACACCAAAAAAATTTTTAAAACAAGAAAGTCGATTGGTGATGCCTAGTGTGCAAAGTCCAGCTGGACCATCTGCTGTTAGATCTCCAGCTTTTCAATTATCTGGTTATGTTATTTTTAGTTTGAAAGAGATACATCGACAACAATTCACGCTTAATAAGGTAAATATGATATTATAAATATGCAAACAAAATAATATGAATATAAATTGATTGATATAGATTAAAAAGATTATATGTAAAAATTTATAGGTACCACCGCAATCCCCACTGGAAGGTCGATTACAAATGCATGTTTCATGTGAACTTTCGGTAGCAGTTGAACATAGAGGATTTCTTACAATGTTTGAAGATATATCTGGTTTTGGTGCTTGGCATCGTAGATGGTGTTTACTCAAAGGTTCTACTTTATCATATTGGAAATATCCTGATGATGAGCGAAAAAAGACTCCAATTGGAAGCTTAGATTTACAAGGTAATTATTTATAATTTTAATATGATATTTTGTTATGATTTAAAATATAACTTATTATTACGTTTATAGGTGTTAATACAACAAATGTTGGATTAGTTTCTCGTGATATTTGTGCGCGTCCTAATACCTTTTTACTTGAAACAATTAGAATTGCAGAATCTGAAGATACTGATAGTTTGATTATGGTCAAAAATGGATCAACTACAACAATTAGGTAAGTATTCTATTGAAAATTTTATTTCATTATAAAATTAATTGATCTTGAATTACTTTTAGGCATCTTTTATCAGCTGATACAAAAGAAGATAGATTAGAATGGTGTTCTAAACTTAATAAAACGTTAAATTTGATACATGCTTGGGGTGGACCATCAACATTATCATAATAATTTCTATAAAAATTCTAATTTTTATTTCATAATAAAAAAAAAAAAGAAATCTTAGCGTATTGAAGTACGCTTATTATTAATTTAATGCGTGTATGCATTTAAATATAATGTATACTTATGTATACTAAATAATGCAATTAAATTTTAATTGAAAATAGTTTATCTATATTTAAAATTTATATATTATAAATATGATAAATCATGGAAAAAAATATTTTGCTAAAAATTAATAATATTAATTGTTTGTAATAGTTATTTTTTATTGTGAATATAACACAATTTCAATATGTAACTATTAACGAATAATCATATTTTAGATTTTAATTGAATTAAAATGCTTCTAATAAAAATAAATATTTATAAAAGAAGCATTTTTTTTGGAGAGAAAGAGAGAAAAAGATTCAATATTACGATATAATTGATAAGAGATTACGATATAAAATCGATAAGAGATTTTATATAATTTTAAGATGCAAAACAAAAAAAAATATAAGTTTGAATTATTACAATTTTAAAATATTATGAATTATGTAAAATTTAAAATATTTATAAATTTAATGCATTCTAATGAATTAATGTAATTATAATATGAATATGATCAGAATTTTTGTAGGTTATTTGAATATTTTGAAAATTTTAATTATTTGCTTTATAATTAAAATATTAAATAATACTATTAATAATAGTATTAAAATGATGTAATTGTTATATTGTAAATAGCAAAATCACAGTATATTAAAATCGTTACTAACAAATATATAGCCAACAAATACATTTATACAAGTATTTTTTTACTGTAAAAGTTAGTATTGCTTAAAAATCATAAATTTTATATCTAACAAATTTTTATATTTTTTACTTTTCTATATAAAAATTTTATTTTATAGTGTCAACATTAAACATTTAAAATAAAAAAAAATCAATAAATTATTTTTCCAATATTTTTATTTATCAATTCTCAAAATTTATTTATGAAAAAAAAATTGTTCTGAATAAAATTAATTGTTTTTGTTACATATCCATATTCATGTAGGAAGATTATTATGCATATGCTAATTTGTATATATATTTATTTGCTGAATTCATATCTTGTTACATACATACAATATAATTATAAAAAAACTTTATTAATTACTCATTTTTATGCAAATTCTAAAATGCGTAAATGAGTGCTTCGTCGTCGCTTCATTAAAAATGGATCGTGATTGAAACTTCTAGCGCTTCGTTTAATATATTTACCAGTAGTTTCTCAGAACTATATGTGAAATAATTTGTTTATTCACTGGCACGCATTTCACAACTAGAAGTATAGTGTCATAATTATTTATATTACATATAAATAAATATTTATTAATATTTCTTCATTTATTATCTTTTTTTATTTTAAAGATTTTAAAGATTATTTTTTATTTATTTTAAATTAAACATTTTAATAAATATTTTTTTATTTTAATTATATATTTTTCATTTAATTTTTCTATAATATCTTCATTCTATTGAATCTTTTGTCAAAAAATGTATAAATCTGTTGATAATTTATTTTTTAAATTTAATGTTTAGTTTAAATATTTAGTAAATTTGATTATCGATCGATTATTTTATTTTGTACATTCTTTTTATTTATTAACATTATTATTTTCACATTGCAAATTTAACGTTCATAGAAATAAACATGATTGTTTGAATATATAAAAATGAATAAAAGAAATTAATTGCATATCATAGAATAATATCATAGAAAATGATCATGCATATTAAGTGAAGTGAATAGCGTGCCATAGAATTTAAACATATACGATACACTTATATTAGCGTATATCGATAGTTAGGAAGTCCTATATAAGGTTAGCGCATAATTTCAGATCTTACATTTTTTTTATTTCGAAACAAGATTGATGGTGGGATGAAATCCATCCTTGTCAGCGGTGTAATCAACCCTTTAATCAAATAATCAATTTTTGATATGTCTTTAGTGATTTGGCTCTTATGATAAGAAGAAAATATTTAATATTTTCTATATCTTCTTATTTAATATTTTTAATGAGTAAATTTAACCTCAATTAATATTTTAATTTTCAATATTTTACCTGTAAGTATGACCATCGGGTGCTGTAAAGGAGAAACTACCAATAACATCGAGGGATTCATCATCGGTACCCTCATTTTTTAATTCTGCAGTTTCTTCCCTTTTTTGACCATCGCTCTGTTCATAACTAAAGTGATATCCACCTACTCCAATGTTGTTTTGTTCTTCCTGCTTTATTATCGTGATTTCATTTGGATTAACTTGGGGGGCTGCAAAAGCTCCCACTATTACTGTCACGAAGATAAGGATCTGTATATAAAGAAAGATTAATTATTTTATAATGATTTGTTGAACTGTTTTTAATTTCTATTTTGGGGAAGTATTAAATTTTTGTTAGTATTATTATATTTCTATAACTTTATATTATTTTAAGTATAGTTTTAAAATTTAAATTCCATTTTTTTCAGGTCGAAAATAATTATATTATTTTGATATAATTACGCGTTTAAAAATATATATTGTAAATATCTTGCAATTCAATTATTTTACATTTTTAAAATATAAATCTCAAAACTCAGCAAATTTATTCAATTCCAGGTTCATCATCACTATTGAAGACATCTTAACTTTATTATATAACTAGAATTTTTTATTTCATATTGGAATTCAGATTTTTCGAATGAATTCTTTGATATTCGAACGATTCAAAATATAGAGACAAATCCTTCAGAGTTTAATGTTCGAAGATGTTCTTACTATTTACAACGTAATTTATAAATTATTATAAATTATTATGGTCATATTACCTTAACGCACACATACAGTCAAAAAATATAAGATTATATGTCACAATATAAAAATTCATCAATTTTAACGACGAAACATATAATGATTTAATTCGAATCTCCATTTTTTATACAAGATTCGCAATGGACCGATATCGTCGCGCAGCGAAATTATGATTAATCATCAGTGCGTGAAACATCGTACACGCACAAATGTCACAGTCCTCTTCACTTTCACTGTTACGTAAAAAAAAATTTCGGAGTCTGCGGCTGAAATCATCGGTGATTCCTATCTGTGCGAGAAAATGTGGAACGTTCACGCGACGCCTAATGTTATGATTTCTTCTTTTTTTAGATTTGACTGTGAAACCCACCGTCTTCATGGCAAAAACTTCTTCGTGCAAATTGGACTTCTGTCCCTTCGTCCTTAAACGACGAGTGATACGTGACACCAAGGATCCACGGTGCATCTGCCTTTATATAGTCGGAAAATCGCGGGTGTTGCATCCCCACCTGGTATTAGACTTGTCGGAGATTCGCGGATCGGTCTCTCCCCTAACAGTGCTAGAACGCATCCGCGATGCAACGATGCAAGTATCTCTTCTTCGGAAGAACGTTTGCATTCTTTGCCTGATGCTATTTCTCTTTAATACTGTCGATATATATTTATACCTTAAGAAAGTTGACAGTTTTAATAAAAATTTCAAATAAAATTTAGGAATTGGAAAAATGGATATAGATAGCAATAATAATAATAATAACAACAACAACAACAATAACAACAACAACAACAACAACAACAACAATAACAATAATAATATTCTTCCATTTTCTTTCTTTCTTTTCCTTTTTTCTTTTTTTAGATTAGATATAATTTTTGCACTATATATGTGGAAATGATTTATATTTTATAAATATATTTGATAAAAATTTGAAAAAAATTAATTCTTGTTAGATGGTATAATAATCATATATATAAATCTAATAGATTTTAATTATTTTAATTATTTAATTATTTTTAATTTCAAATTTTAATTTCAAATTTTATTATTTCTCTGAAGTGAAAAATTTCTTATAAAAAAGGCTTTTCTAAACAAAAGTTTAGCATATACTTTTCCAATAAAATATTCATAATATACATAGATATATATTTCTAAGATACTCTATCACATAAGTAATTGAATAGCATTATAATAAAAGAATTAATAAAGAATTATATTCTTTAATTTGCAATTTTACTACAACTAATTTTGGACAATAAATTGTTTGCATTTAATATTACTTAATAATTATTTAATAATTTAATTTTGCAGGCATAAATTGTTTTTTTCAAATGAATTTGATTAGAAAATAATAAATTAATGAAAAATTTTACTAAAAGATTTTTAAGTTTTTATTGTAAAATATATTTCTGAATAAGGTATATCCATTTAATGCAATTAGTTGTATAATCATTATATAGTATATATATATTTTGTATATAAATATTCGCGATCGAAATGACATTTGCACCTACCTGCATTTAAGTATTTGCATTAAGTATTATAATTAAGTATTAAGTATAATGAAAATAATCTTTCAGTTGAATTTCACTATAGTTTAACTTTGTCAGCAATGCCAAGGATTTTTTATATTTGTATAGAGAAATGATAGTTTCTATTTTCACAGAATATGTGAATCTACATCAAGTTCATTTATGTGCATTTACCTTACCTTATAATAAGGTCTTACAGATTGAATTATTAATTATAATACAGATAATCAGAAAATAAACAATTATAATTATAATTAAAAGTTATTAATATTATATATAATATATTATTATATTAAAAGTTTTACAATATTAAAATTAATAATTTTTCAATATATAGAATATTTATTAATATAATTCTATAATATAAATTAAAAAATTCATAATTTTAAAATTATTTGAATATTTTTTTTATTAATATTTGATTTTTATATTTATATTTTTATATTATTTCGATAAACTATATTCATGATTTCAAGTTTTGAATATATTCGCAACGCACCTGGCATGGTTCATAATCGTGGATTAAGTAAGAGACTTTGTGATGTAATATGTGAAATGTATTTATTTGAAGATAATCCTATACATTCAAATACTCAAAGTATTGTATTTGTCTACAATGTTCCTTTTTATGTTAGGTTATTTTGAACATTATTTTGTATTTTGTTGACATATATCAATTAATTATAAAAATATTTTTCATAAACTAATTATTTTAATGATTATTTATATTGCATTTTTCATTATAAGAATAATATTAACAAAATTTATTATTATTTTATTATCTATTATTATTTTTGTTATCTTTATTATTATTAATTTAAAAAATTATTTAAAAAGTAGTAAAATATTAATATAATTTTAAAGATTCTGGAAGACATTAAAAATTATTTATCAATTATTTTATATATTATATATATATATTATGTATTCTATTTCATTTTTTTAATTCATCAACAGATATGAATCTTTTTATGTCTCTAAATATAATAAATATATATGTATATAAATTAATAAAAATCACATTCATAGAAAAAAATTTATTTTTCTCAAAAATAAAAATAAATTTCCATCAAAATATCAAAAAAAATTTTACAAAATAAATTACAATGTATTTCATACATAGAAAAAAATTGAATAATGAAATTGATAAATCTTTTAATTATTTCAAATTTAGTATTAATTTCAATAATTAAAAAAGATAAAAAAGATAAAAAATCTAATATTTCATTTGTCAATCAATATTTTAAAAAATCGTAAGTATTATGTGTTGCCAAAAATAAATCTTTTGTAATTCTTTTTTTATTTTGCTGAAGAAGAAATGTGGAACAACCACTTACAAGATGTTAGCGATTTCGTAACTTGGATGATCCGCAGAAACTCATTGGTACAAAAACGTAGAAACCTGGCTATCAGTTACGAATAACCAAATGTGAAAGCCGAATCTGCAAAATGATCAATTTTTACCCCCATTATTCGTTTGGTCAACGAAGCCTCGAAGCGTCATAAGTACACGCGGCTGAGCGTCCTTGTTAATTGTGACATTTGCTTTTCTCGGTGTTAAGAAGAGTTGAGGAAAGTTAGTGACGTAACTACCGGTGACCTTGCCATTTCAGAAGATACAGAAGATGCCTCCGGCTATCGCGTCTCGAGGCATCTTCTCTTCTTCCCTTCACTTCTTTTCCCTTTCCTTTTCTTCCGTGGTTGTTTCAATATCAAAATTTAGAATTCTATCTTCTGTTGGATTCGAAAAATAAAAATATAATGGTTCCATTCATAATTCATTTGGAAGACTTGCCATTTGTGAATAAAATGTTTATTGAAGTAAATTTTAAAATCTTAAATCATAAATATGAAAATTTATATGATTATATTTTTCTTTCACACTTGATTTTCCTTATCTTACATATTTATATATATATAAATTATTACATAATAATGGTGCTTTTTTTTTAAAGATACATTATACATTATACATTAATTTGATAATTATTTTTAAATTTATTTATTTAAAATCAAGTAATTTTCAAGCAGTTTACTTGAGCAAATGGTAAATTTATTTTATTCAATCTCTCTCAATGAAATTATTTTTATTTTACTCCATTTATTTTTCCATTATTTCAATCAAAATTAAGTGAGGAAGAAAGAAGACTTTTCAATCAATATTATGTAATCCAATAGATAGAATTAAGATTCCAAGTGATTTGAAATTTTGCTGTACACGTCATTGTAAATGATTAATGTTTAAAGAATTTTTTTTTAGCTAAACACAATGTATTTGCTTGTACTGATATCTACATAAAAATACCATTAACATGTTTTTAATTCACAAGTAATTCACAAAGGGAATTTTCATATAATAAATTAATAAAATTAATATCTTTTTTTTTAAATATAAATACAATGTACAACATATTTGAAAAATATATTCTTGAAAAATATGAAAAATAATTTACAATTTCATTTTCTGAATAAATAATTATTTTAAGTTTATTTTTAAGATTTTGCAACTTTTACATTTTATTGATTTTTTTTAAAAGTAATTTTTATTTTTACATTTTTATGCGATATTAAAAAAATAAAACTGTCAAAATGATGGAGCTCATTATCTTGCTTATAAATAAATATATGTATTAATGTCTTTGATTTTATTTTATTTTAATTTATTTGATATTTTTAAGAATATTTTTAAATATTATTCATAATTTTTATGATAAATTTATTATAAAACAAGATAGTTTTTTGCTAAATTTTAAAACAAATTTCTTTTATTTAATTGTCAATTGAAATTCTATTTAATTTATAGAATCACTTTAATTTATAAAACATTTGAAAATATATAATTTAAAACGAATATGATTATTATATATATATTTGATTTATATGAATATTAATAAACGTTTTATTTAATTAACTAGTACATAACAAATTTAATGAGGTTAACTATCATTTTCATTTATATATTCGAACTTTTTAATTATTTTCTATCTGAAAATTATTTCAAATTGCAAAACGGTTTATAACAAAGTAGATAAATTCAAAGTAATTTGCATTTTATGTATATATGTATTTTAATAAGACTTGTACGAGATATACACTATTTTCTACGCATTACGTTTTTTACACATATGCACGCATACACATTATTAGCATTCTGTCGACTTATAAAATATATAGAAAAATTGGAGGACTTAATTTTACTAGTAGTTGAAGAGAACGTGGTGATAATTACACAGTTAATTTGTTTAGCCGCGAATCATGGTAAAAAATCGCGTGAAATTGCAAAAATGTCAATGAGCCAGTGTTGTTTCGTTTGTCTTTTGCGATATCAGTACATGCCGACAATATGGTCGTGCAGATGCGCAATTACATCACCATAATCTTTGTAAACCGACAATTACATGAATAACGTGAATAGATATTGAGAATGAATATTTCATCTGCTTTCATCGGTTTGTTTATTAAGTTTGTTAAGTTTAGTATAATAGAAAAAACAGATGAAGAAGTCTTGTTTAACGGATATAATAAAATTTTTTTTCTAACCTAGAAATAAAAAATTAATGGTTAGTATTACGTATTTATGTATACTTATTTATTCATATTTGTTAGTTATTAAAGAAAATTGAGAAAATTGGTTGATATTATAAATATATATTATATATAATAATTTTGAAATATGTATATAAATAAAATATAGTATTTATTTGATAATAAAAATGATAAATTATTAAAAATTTTTGAAAATTTAAAATTGTTATAATAATAATATAATTTTATTGGATGATATATATGACAATTGAACTTGGATAAAAAAACGAAAAAGAAGAATAAAATTAAATACATTAAATTAACATTAAAAAACATTAATACATTAAATTACAAAGTGATAAAAATAAAAATTATGATTAAATGCGCAAAATAAAAAATAATAATTTTAAGTTCTATAAAGAATATTTTTAGAATCTCATCCTAAGTTTATCGATAATAGTTTTTTTATAAATGAAAAATGTAAATTTTTTTATGAAGACAGGATTGCATAATTTATAGCTTTTGTATTTTTTCCTCGTGCGATAAAATATTGTTATTAAAAGACCTGGAGACAAGTTCATCGATTTCTTTCTTCATATATTTTATTTTTTCATATTTTTTTATCGATATTCAAGATAAGAAGAAATATTAATAATTTTTAAAAATATTTATTATTTAAAAATAATAATATTATTTAGTAATATTAATATGTTAAAATATGTTTATTTTTTAATTATTTATTTTTTTACGCAGTCAACAGTTTGAAGATATCATAAATATTAATAATATCTGATGTTGCATATTTTTCAATCGATTATTTTTTAATTTATAAATGACATACAAAAGAAAGAGCGAAGAATTTTCCATAATCGCATAAAAGGAAATGATGCATTCATCGACTTGTAAGTTACTATACTTAATAATGTGCATTTATCCTTTCTCTTTAATGATGCAATAACCAATCTTTCTTTTCCATGATGTAACTCTTGTAAAATTTTTTAAACGATTATAAATTTTATCGGGAAACAATGAAAAGAGTAATGATTTTAATGAATATACAAGTTTCACAGAGAGTTTTCTATATATATATATATATATATATATATATATATAATTGCAAACATAATAATAAAAGATGTTAAATAAACAAAAAAAATTAAAGATTTTATTTATAAAATTAAAGATTATCATAATATAAATCATTTCTTTTTTTATTTATTACTCCTATAACAATTTGAATAAGAAAACATTAATCTCTTTGTATTGTTTATTGGAAACAAAAATTAAATTAACATAAAATTTTAATATAATTTCTGAAAAATTAAACATTTTATTTTAATGCTCTATCTAACGATTCTAATTTTTACAATTTCTGCTTTTATATATATTATATATATAATTTTATAAAATTTTGCAGAGAATATCCAATAGCAAAAAAGGAATTCCCAATTTCATCAGGTTTGTATTATATTCTTCTATCACTCTTCTTTTTCATCTTTCAATCGCGTAACAAACGTTACAGCAAAGGTCGCACAGCTACATCTACAAGTATCTAAGAGGTAACGAGGAGTCATTCTGACGCAATAGGGAGACAACGCGAGTCACGATCGGTCAAGAGGGTTTCCTATTGAAATACCGTTGATAGATGAAATTGCATTTCCGCAACTATCATTTTTTCTGACCGCGATAGCTTATCTCCATCAATAAGAAAAATTAGCTATAAGATATTTACTCATCAAAAATATTGAATGAAACAGGTGAGGTCTAAGAATGTGAAATAAAAGTCAATAGAAGATAAAAAAATATGTGATGATAATTTTTTGTGACTCTTGATTATTTTACCTTGACCAAGATATAGCTTTCTCTGTACGTTTTTATTATCTTTGCAATAATAGGAAGGATTCTGTACTTGAACTAGAGAAAGTAAAATGTATGTATTTAAAATTTGTTATATGTTTATTATATATGTATATATTATATGTATATAAAATGTACATATATATTTAAAAATATTTAAAATTTTTTGAAAATAAAGATTTTCATATTTTTAAATGCTGAATTAAAGTTAAAAGTAAATTATTTAATATGTAATAATAATGCATAATACATTAAAAGTCATCTTTAAGATACAAAAAACTTTTTTAGTTTAACTGAAGTTAAACTAAATGATTTGAAGAAGGCCAATTAAATATAATGTCCTTTTTAAAAATTTTGTTTTGTGTAAAATAATATTGTAGTATAATTATAAATATTCCATTTTTTCTAAGTATTTTTCTAAGTATAATTAATTTTTTATTATTGTTAGTATAATTATGAATAATATTTTTATAGATTTGTTATAATATAATAGTATAATAAGAATTAATTAAGAATTAATAATTAATAGTAATAAGAAATTTATTATTATTATTAAATTAATAATATTAATTAATTATATTATAAGAAAAATACTTGCATAATTTTATATATATATTTTATAATATACATGTAATTATGTTATATATCATTATAATTAAACAAATACAAATTACAAATAATTTCAGTTTTATTATAATATCATGAGATCTCATCATATAATTTTTTATCAATTAATATTATAGAAATAAAATATTTAAAATAATTCATATTCATTATTATTATATTTTTTAAAAATAAAAATTAAACAATTTTAAAATAATATTAATTGGAAAATTATAACGTATTCATTAATAGCAAAAATAATTAATTAACATAATTTTATGATTATTTGATTATTTCCAATAAATTTTAATAATCTACAGCAATATTTGATTGGCTGATTATGGAGAAAATTATAGCTTGAATCGATTCTACAAACAAGTTGTAAGCAAGAGGTGGAGAAATAGGAGGAGCGATTAATTTTTGCGCTTAATCGAAACGCCTATCAGCATTGTGGATGATGATGTTATGTGAATGGAACGAATTACATATTGTTTTTCTTGGTGATATCATATGCTTCAGATTCGAATATAATTTATCTAATAACCTTCGAATAAATTGCCAATAAGGAAACTATTTCGATGACAATGATTATAGTAGTCAATTTAATAATAATTTCTATACAGATATGCATTTAATGAACTAAATATTAATAAGAGAATATTTTATTCATCTAGTGAATTTTATGATATAAATAATACAATATGTTAATTACTTGATAATATTTTTAATTAATTTAAATTCTTGTTTGAAAAATATATTGTAAAGAAATATGTACAAGATTCTAAAATAATATTAATATCATAATATTTTATTGTTACAAATATTGATAACTAATTAATTGATTTAATTTATTTTTATATTTTTCTTACATATTTCTTTAAATATACGAAAAGTCGATACTAAATACAAATATTCAATCAATTCTCAATTTTATAGTATTCTTCGGTTTCCTTTGAACTTTTCGTTCGTTAATACTTCGCAAGAAACCTGTAGAATCCTTCACTGGTAATTATCTTATCGTAAAACGTTGTTCGACCGACAACATTCAAAAGATTCCCAATGAATTACGAGAATCATAATGCAACGATACGTGCGCATTTGCGGCGCATAGGTGATTCGACCTCGTCACCTTGCCGTAGCTCGCATGACTGTTCTAACGTTGACACCCGCTAAATAAATCAATCGTGTTCGCGAGAAGAAGGATGCTCGAAGGATTAGAGAAGAACGTTGAAACGGAAAGTTCATGCCGCCTTGTGAATCACGATATTAGCAAGATATTGTTGAAATCATTTAAGCCAACTATTTCGATGAACCAATATCTAATATTGGCTCTTTACTTTTCGAAAGAAGTTATGCGTTTCTTGTATAATATAATATGAATTTAAAGATAGTATGAAAATATTTCACACTTAAAAAAAAATGTGAGTATACTAATATAAAATTGATCACAATTTTATCTTTTTCAAAATTATTTGTTTTATTTTTTTTAAATAACCAATCTTTTTTTTTTAGTTTAATTAAAAGGAAGATTCCCCTACCCCCTTAAAAGAGAATATCTGAATTCTCTTCTACAATTCTTTTCTCTTCTTAATTAATAATAGTGAATTAATAAGTGAAAAAATATAGATATTATTATAATTTTACATATGAAAGAAATAGATTAATTAAATAATTTAGAATTTATAAAATTTCATTTATTTTTATTACAAAATTTAATTGCTAATATAAGATAATTTATTAATATTGATAACATGTAACTTATGATTTTTATTATTAATTTTACATATTAATTTTATTAATAGTAATAATTCAATTAGGCAGAAGTGCAAAAATTTTTTTCAAATAAATAATTAAAAATTTAGTTTATTGTTGATATAGATGATTCATAATTTATGTAAATCATTAATCGCAATAATCTTCTTAATTAAGTAATTGCAATAATCAAAAGAAAAAATAGAAATAAATAATTCAAGGGAGATTTTATTAAACTGAGTAAGATAATGCCCGCTGGCATTTGAATCTTATTGTGAAATTACATAATACAATAACTGGAAGAAGGAAAGAGAGAAAGTGTATTAAATAGCTAATTACAAAGCCAATGCATTTCAGCGTTAATTGAATAACGGTGAAATTTCGTATTTGAATTTTTTTTCACGGCCACAATGTTCACATAGTTGAAGAAAGAAAAGGAAGTTGAACTCGTGATTGTTCTCTCTCTGGATGGTATTGATAATTTATCTAGTACGAATGAAATAAATCGATCGATACAAGTTTTATATATAATGGATGATTCACGACTGCGAGGCTAGACGACACTAGACGACACTTTCGAGGTAAAAGGGTAGATTTGTATCTTGGTTAACCGTCTTGCTCCTTTTTCTATTTAATCCAGAATATTGTTAAAGCCTCACAAATGCATAATATATTTCGTGCTTATGATATAAAATATCTTTGAATTGATGAAATTCAGATTAGAAGGAAGATGAATTTAATATGAATATAATGAATTTAATAAGATTTTAAGATTTGAAAAAATAATTATTTTAGAATTTATTGCTATAAATATTACTGTATTTCGTGATTACGAATAAAGATTTCATATACCTCCGTCTATAATATGCATATTATATATATAATATATAAATTTTTAGTTTATTATATTTAATATATTTAGTATATTTTGTAGTTTATTATTTTTCGATTATTAAACTATAAGATTTAGAATCTAAATGGATTATTGCGATAATTTATCATATATAAAATAAACAAGAATGATTATTGATGATCTTTTCAAACTTCAAAGTAAAGCGAATTGAAAACATATCTATCAAAGACATCAAGTTGCATTTGAACGATGATATTATGATGATGATGCAGTTTTTGATCTCAGAAACCATTGGCTCATCTAAATGATTTAATGAATTTGATTAATGTATGCTATTAAATACATTAATGTTATTAAATGTTTTGAAGTACACGCATTATCGATGCTTTTGATTTATTTATGAGCATTAAATTTCATATTTAAATTCTCACAATAATAAATGATATTAATCCTAACATATTTTTTTCGTTTATATATAATTTTTCGTTTACTCCAAATTTCATTTTAATAATTTTTTTACATTAATGGTCTTTAACTAACAATAAATTATTAACTCCTCCATTCTAATGTTTATAATGTATTATTCATATATTAATTTCAAATACTATTTATAATAATAAAAAACTTGATATTAAATATTTAATTAAAAAATTTCGATTCTTATATTTATATTTCATATTCTTATTTTATTGGTATTTCACATTTAATTAATTCAAAATTGCATCATTAGGAACTGTATAAATTATTTTCTTTTAAATATTTTTTTAAACTTCAACAAGACTATAATCCAAAATTATATGATAATATCCTTCTCATACCAAAGATATTTGTTTCTATAAAAATATTTTATATTTACTTATATTTTATATTTACTTTAAAGTTCAGTACTTTAAAGTTTTATTTGTTTAACATTATTTGTTTTATTATTGAAGTTTGAAATTAAAAATAAAAATTCATTTCATATCTTTATTCAAAAAGATTTGCACATTCATACCTCTTGTATAAGAGGGACAGAAACCACATTATCCAATTTATCATTCCAATGTCTATCATCCACAAAGAGTAATCCCTGACATTTTTGAAACACCCTTGCAACCTCGAACACCACTATTAACGGAGTATTAATTCACCTGTGTCTCGATTCCGTAGCCACCATTAAAAATCCACTATGTAGATGCAATAGTACTTGTATATCGGTGGAGGTTTGTCTGCCGACAGTGTCGTGGCATTTAACCGATCCATGCCATCGTGTTCGCCAGCTCTATTACGCAACTAATACCTTTAAGCCGGCGGCAACGATTGTGACGACGACGTCGACGACAACGAAGATGACAACAGCAACATCGACCTCATGTGGTTCAGCTTAGATTCTTGCGAAATTTTTAATTCTCCTGTGGATTTCTTATTACAGATGGAATTAAGTTCAATATATATTTATAAATTCCATTCAATTTTAATAAGGTATTTAATTCTATTGTTATTTCTTGTTGTACTTCATATTATTTTAACTTATCAATTTATTTTAATATCTTTTTTTTTTTCAATAGGATCAATGATCAGTTATTGATCATATTATTGAGTATATGATTCAATTTATAAGGTAATTATTTCTATATTACAGAATAAAAACTTTCTAGATTGGACTTTCTAAAAAATGCCAGATTCTCAAGAAATTTTCGAATGGCAAGTCCATAGAATTTCTTCCCAAGCTTTTTTTGAAATCGTTCGAACAATATGTTTAATATTAAAATGAAATTATAATATTGATATTTTTGTATTTTATCTTTTATTGTACAAGAATAATTATAACTTTTTTTTTAATAGATTTTAATGAAATTTTTTAGACTATTTTTCTTGCAACTCATAATTGCCTGAAGAATTCTAAATATTTAAAACATTTAAAATTAACTTGAGAATTACTTAATTATTATTATTATTATTATAAATCGAAAATAAGATTTAGTAATATATCATTTTACTAATATTTTTATTACAAATATCGAATGTTCTTGTTTAGGAATAAATCATTCTGTTCATCAGAAGCTTTATGCCTTTCTGTCATTTATCCGAGCGCTCAAATAGACACAGAATAGAAATAGGAAGACGATAAGTTCAGTCATCATAACTCAACACTGATATTCATCGCGACAATCATCTCGTTAGAATTATACAAGCAAACGTAACATTTGAACGCTTTACATCTGTTACATGAAACGAGAGATTACTTGGCAAGATAGGTGATGGATTCAAGTCAGTATCCCCTTCGGATTGTAACAAAATAATTGACTTCATTTTTGGTTTCAATGATTTCTGACACTGTGTTTCTGAATGTATTGAATAATTTTAAAAAGAGAAGATTTTCCAAATTTAAATATATAAAAATTAACTTTTAATCATGATTTTTAATGATGAAAAGTTAAGTAAGTTAAGTAACAAATTAGTAAGTTTTTATAAAATTAACAATTTCAACTTCTGTGAAAGAAGAATTTTAATTTTTAAAATATAAAAAACTAATTAAAAAGTTTTAATTTAAAAATTTTTTTGAAAAATTTTGATATAAAAATAATTTTTAATTTAATTATTATAATTAGTCCTTGATTTTTGGATACAAAATATGTCAATAAAAATGAAGATATTTTAATTAGAAAAGTTTTAATATATATTTAATTTAATTATGAAATTATATGAGTTTTAATTATGATCTTTATGAAATAATCTTTGATAAAATATATATTACATTTGTAAGATTGTTTGATCTTAAAAAAATAGAAATGATGAATGATTAAAGAAGAGATATATTTATTTATTTTAATTTTACAGTTGATTTATTTGAGTCTTCATATGAGTAACATATCTTTAATTCTTAATATTTACAAAAATATTAAAACCAAAATAAAAAAAATTGTGTGATTGATTTTTGGAAATACTTTTTATTGAAGATGAGAAAATATATGATGAAATCATTAAAAGAAAGTTGTTTCTGATGAATTTTATCGTATAATGTGATATTTCACATTTGTAGTATCTAAAAGTCAAGTACTACTGAATTTACATCATCGATTCGACCAAAAAGCTTATGCAATCAATTTCTATTTATTGATAGTATGACTATTATTAACTATGATTTACTTAATTAATTTTAATACATTTCTTTCTGAAATAGAATATATTCTATATTTTTCTAAAAGTTTAAATAATAAAATTCATATTTTTAATTACAGATTTTTTTTATAATACAAAATTTTACATTTTATTTTCAGATAACAATTAAATATATCATTAATTTTGACAAAAATTAAAATTTTGTTAATGTAAAAATTATGAATGTTTTTGTTCCATGAGGCAAATTCTCCAATAGTCGATCGAAGTTTTTGCCTCTTAATCCAAAGAAGAAGATTCTCGTCATGTACAATCGATTATACAATATCATCGCGCTTCACGATGAGCCGCAACAAAAAGGGAAAAGTCACGACTCGTGCGCCAATGCACGAGCGTGCAAGAACTCAACTGATTATCTAATATCGTGCTACCTAACTATATATTCACCATGAAGAGGATCTTCTGAATGGAGAAATAACTTAACGAAACCTGATCAACAGAAATTTCACTGAAAGTATATATTCAGAATAAAATTGAGAATAAAAGTTGATGGAGTTGATTTTGATGCCATTTTTTTAATCTTCTATATCACAATCGAAAAATCATGCTATTTGTATATGAATACATTCTTGCTTTTGTATTTTTATTATAAAAAAAAAAAATTAATATCTATTAATATAATGGTAATATAATAAACAAAGTAAGATAGTAATGATATAAGTAACAACACTTGATATAATTTATTACATTTTTAGAAAATATAAAATTAATGATTTTTTGGAGTTAGAAAATGTAACTTTCAAATAAGACATCAAAAATTTTATAAAGAATGAATAAGATATCTAAATAGTATAATCATAAATCAATTATACGTAATTTCATCTAGGGATAAACATGTTATCCACTGATAAATCCTGTTTTTACATTCTTACCATAATTTTACGACTTAAAAAAGACATTTGATAATTTAATAAACATTTGATAATTTGATAAACATTAATTGAATATTTTTAAAATTAATATTTCACTCTGAAAATTATTATTTATCATTTTTTGCAGTAAACTCCAGGAAAAAAAAATTAAGAAAAAAAAAAGAATCGCGACACAAAGAATATAGATCTTCTTGAGCCCAAGACTCATCTTCTTTCTCTTCTACCAATTCTTCTTTTTCTGCACCGATGCCTTACTCTTTCAGACATTAGCATAAGCAGCCTTCATCGTTAATATATCCACTGACTTTCTTTTCGAACTTCTACGTATATTTTTTTTCTTCTTCCATCCTTTCGTTTCTTTTTTTCTATAGAGAGAAAATAGAGAATGCTATTGTTCTGTTCTTCTCATAATCCACATGAAAAGACTACATAGATATCTTAGAACAAGGTTGTTTTGACGCAATCATTCTTTTCGAAGAAACGTTTCTTTGCGTTCTTTATTTTTTATCCTCTTGGGTTTGAATATATTTGCAAGATTTAAAAACTAGTATCGTTCGTGAAAACGAAATAGATGTCACAAACGAAGAATCTCATAAAACGATTAACATCATGATTACGCTTGAAAATAAAAATAATAATTTTACAAGATAATTATCTAATAACAATTTGTTGTTATGAAATTCAAGTTCCATGCGAATTTTTTTTGGATTTCTAAATCAAGCAAAATATGTGATAATAAATAATAACTTAAAATAGCGAAATAAGAATCGTAAGAATATGATAATTGTTATTTTTATAAACAATTTTTCATAATATTATGAATATTAATATAATATTATCAAAATATAAAATATTTTTATAACATTAAATATTTTTTAATTTATAAAATGTAATATAAAATATAAAAATATTTGTTTTTAGCTAAATAGTTTAACTAGTCATAAAGAGTACTAAGCTATATTAATTTTCATATTTTCATTATTAAATTAAAAGTTATTGAATATAAGTTATTAAATATAAATAATAAATTCTCATTTAATAACAATTTATTTTTTAGAAATATATATTATTTTTAAAAATATGCATAATAAACTATTTAACATAAAAAAATAATATTTAATATAATATAATATTTACTTTAAATTACTTTAAATTACTTTAAATTTATACACTCTTTAAATAATTTTTCAAGTAAAATCATTAAAAGAATAAACAACATTACAGAAAAATATTGCAATAAAAATATGCGCAAAATTTTCAACATAGAAATAAATAAAGTTATTCTATGCATCTTGCAGTGATGTAATTGTATCATAAAAATAAAATTATTTTGCTTTTGATTGGTAGCGTTTGTTAGGCGAAACCGAACGTGACTTTTGCTGAAGATCAAGATTCACCTTTTGATGAAATGAAATTGCGTGACCTCCGAATATTATGGCTTCGATCGACGATAAATTTATAAAAAATGTAAACGACGGTGAAGATCCATGTGTTGTAATGACAAGCTAAATCCAATTACGAATGAATTATGCCAATACATCGAAGCTCTCAACCATTTTTTACTAATACTTCCATTAAGAAGAGCTTCGGTCGATTGTGTAACACATAACGAGACTTTTGGAATATCGATGCCGAAGATGTAACAACCCGCTATTTCTTCCAATCCATGATTATATCCAATTTTACGCATTTTATGTACTTATTTTTAAGGTTATGCAGTTATGGTTACGTATTTTTAAATTACGTAGTATAATCGAGAATTTTTCTGGAAAATAGGCTTATATAGATCTGTGGCATTTTTTTTATAAGTAAGTCATTTTTAATCACTATATATCTAATATATACTGTGTTTCTATTACAATTATTAATATACTGATTCTTCTTTTTTTTTTAATTAAATTTAAAATTTCAAAAAAATTCACTCAATTTTTATATGAGATTCACTTTTATTTCATAGATTCTTTTTGAAAAATTTATTGCAGGAAAATAATATTTTGAATGGTTCAAAAAATTAAAAACAATTAAGCAAATTTACAATATTTTTTAATATTATTAATTCTATTAATTCTAGGATATAGTATTTTTTTTTTCTTTGCAAATATTTTTTAAAAATATCTATCTTATCAAAATGACACTTTAATTTATTTCTCGACATTTTATTTGGAATAATCATTGATTGCATTCATAAATTCATACTCCTTCCTGAATAATCATCTTCTTTATTCAACTTCCCTTAAATTGCGATATCAAATCCTATACGTTTTCTGTAAGGATTTTCTGACGACGATTCCGTCCATTGTTCCATCCAAGTTTGGTAAGACAGGGATTCGTATGAGATTACAAGCACAGTGAAATCACGTGCGATTTTCGCTCCTGAGCCGCTCTTCCTTGAATTCTTGCCTGACATTCACCGCCTCTTCCTTTGTCGGTCATCGTTCTACCACCGCCAACCGGCCAATGCCACTCGATGATTTCGACATCTTTACTGAAGAATTTTGGAAGCCTGCCTCCCTGGAAGGGGTAAAATTCGTTTGAAAATCCGGCTATATAACGGTCCCGTGGATCAAGATCGAATCAGTATTGTGATCTAGCTCATCTCACAACACTTGTATCATCTTCGACAATCCAAAGAAGTTCCATACCAAAATAACCCATCATGAAACTGGTGCGTGTTTTCTTCGATTAATAATTCGACATATCGGATCAAAAGTATTTACCGTTGTTTAAATTCGTTATTCCTTCTTCTCTTTTTTTCCACGGTTTAGAAAAGAAAAAGATGATATCGAAATTTCGTTTCTTTCCATTGGTGGATCTTCATCCTCGAAATGGAAAAAATAAAATAATTGTTCGTAAGAGATCGCCGATTATAAAACGCTTACAAACGTGTAATTAAAGCTCACAGTATTGTTATGTACTATTAACAACGATACTGCAATTACACATATTATCGTTCGTTCCCTTGTCTATTGTCGAGATGCAAATATGTTTTTAGAACTATTTTAAATAAATCATTAGTAATGGATCTTGCATAACCATCTTGTAAAACACCGCGAAAACTCACATACTTGCGACTGGAAAACAGTGGCGACTTGTATGATGTAAAATTAAAGACATATTTAAAATAAAGCAATGAGTTACTCTAGTGTTTCATATCATTTAATAATATTATATATTGATTATTAAATTAATATTTAGCATATAAATTTTATTATGTATATTACATTGCACAAATGAATTTATTAACGAAACAATTATTAAAACAATTCTATTTTTAGAATTAGGCTTCATTACAGCATACCTACGTATTTTTTGAATCAATGAACTTCTTCATTTTATTGAATGAAACATACAACAAAACATTCGTTTGCATAATTTTATTCAAGTTCAAGTGCTAATTGATTCACTTTTTTTTTTGTTACAGTTCATTGCTTTCGCTCTTGTCGTTGTCGTTGTCTATGCAGCACCTCAAGGACGTCAAGAAGAAGTAGTACTCGTCAAAGAAACACCCTCAGATAATATTGGCTTAGGTGGCTATAGATATGCCTACGAACTTTCCAACGGTCAATCTCATCAGGAAGTAGCGGAATTAGTTAACGAAGGAACTGAAAATGAAGCTTTAACTGTTCGAGGCAGTTATAGTTGGGTGGAACCACAAAGTAATACAGTATATACTGTAAACTACGTGGCTGACGAGAATGGTTTCCATCCTGTGGGTGAACATCTCCCTGCTTGATTGTACTATTTTTAGTTTTAAATAAATTTTATAAATTTCTTTAATTAAATGTTTCTTTGGTTTTATATTTCTTTTCCTTTGATTATTTATTTATTTTTTTCTTTGTTCAAAGAAATGTGTATTAAGAAGAGTTTATTTTTGGCGAAAAATAATTCTCGAGAGTAATTCTTAAAAATTTTATTCTCAAATGTATTAATACTCTATCATTAGTTATAAATCTTATCTATTACCATTATTCCTATTAAAATAGAGAAAGCCAGGTAATGCATATTGAAAATTTATTTCAAAAATAATATTTTCAATATCTCAATTATATTTATTTATATATTATTCATATTATATAATTATATATTATTTATAATAAATTATAAACAAAATAATATTATATTTTCATTCTCTATTGATATTTAAATATTTGTTCATAAAAAATAATTCACTTTCATATTATAAAAATAAATTGAAAGATAGAATGATAAACGAATATTAATGTGAATAATTGTAAATTTAAATATACATAATATTTTTATTTGTTCCAGTTTTGAGACTGTTGAACACATATAATAAATAAATTAGCGTTTCGAGGTGCAATACCCGAATGATTATATTTGTAAAAATAATGCATTAATAATATTAAATTAATTTTCCGCAAGATACATGATTCTATTTAAATTAATGTTCTGAGTATCAATATCGATTTGAAAATTAATAAATTAATAAATTAATAAAATTTTTTTATAAATTGATGATATTGAAAATCTTATTGCGAATCTTTAATTTCCTATAATTTCTAGATGATTGAAATTTTTATTATTTGAAGATTGATTATTATTTAAAGTTTTGAAGATTTTATTATATCGTTAAAAATATTTTGTGTAACTTAATTATAAGTTAAGTTTAAAATAATATCTATTTAGAAAAAATATATAAAATTTTTTATATAAATTATTTACAATAAGCTTTATTAAATACACTTCTCTTCTCTTAAAATATAATATTTTACTAATTACAGAACTAAAACAATTTATAAATTTTATATTTTCTTGTCTAAATTCTTCCAATTAAAATTTATTATTATATCTATACACATATATTTGTACAATAATAATTAGTTTCATTCCTATATTTGTATTTTTCTATTTCATTAACTAATTTCATTTAAAATAAAAAACGTTACAAAAATAAATATTCATATTAAAAAAATACATATTCATTCAGATATAATATTAAAAAGTTTTATCAAATCAATTAAATCAGTTTAGTTCAGTTATATCAGAAAAAACAAATTTTATATCTAATTATACACTATGATATTTATAATATTATTTAAAGATTCACTAATGAATAAATAATTACTGCTAAATTTATATTAAAAATATAATGAATATAAAATTATTAAAGATATATCCATTTCAGAATTATATATAATATATATTATCATAAAGTAAAAAGAAAATATAAGTATCCTAATGAAAGCAAATACTTTTATTATGGTTTAATTTTTTAATTAGTTCTTTAGTAATTTATATTTAATTAGTTCTAATTCGTAATCTTCATAATAATTGTTTAAAAGTAATCTAAGTTATTTATATGTTTAAATAGATATTGTTTTTTCCTATATTTTATAGCAATATATGAATATTGAATGTAATATAGAATCATAAATATGATTAAATAGATGAAACAAAAATAAAAAAGAATTCAAATGAAATTAAATGAAATAAATTATTTGTCGAGAAAAATGAAAAAAAAAAAAAACAATGAATATATTATGAAGCTGTGTTAAATGACAATTTTGTCTATAGATATTCATAATTAAACGATTGCGTACATTTGATAGTATTGTAAAAATAGCGAAGTAACTGCGCATTATGGTGTCGTAATGATACAAGTTATAAAAATCCAATAAATTATACGATAGATTCCTTTGATTTTCTTTTAAAAATTATTTAGAAATTGATCAAGCATTCTTAGTTTGTAATATCAAAGACTTCTTTAACATTTAAAAAAAAAAAGACAATAATAATAAAAATAATTTAAAATTTTAATTTTCATTCTACTAATGAAGAAATTGATATTATTTAAAAAATTTAATGTTATAATACATATTATAACATTAAAGAAAACATAAAAGAAAATCCAATACGTTTATAATGTATACATATTGCATTCTATATTAATAATTTTATTTTTAATGTACCGTTTTTTATTAATTTTTTATTATTTTATTTTGATTTTGGAAAGATATATATTTTTAATTTTATTAATTGAAATTTTTAAATATGTCTAATTAAGTATCTAATATCTCATATCATAATAAATTAAGTTTAATTCAAAATCTTTCTTTTTAATTTTTAAATCTTCTATGTTGTATGATTTTTATTATTATTATTATTATTATTTTATTTAATTATAACTTTTTAAAGAAGAATATTTCTTATTATGTTGCATTTATAATAATTTTAATTTATATTTATTATTATAATTAAAGGAATCAATTTCTTTTATTAATCTATTTACAAAAAAATTTTTTTCTACTTTTTTAAACATTATTTAAATGTTTATATTTGTATATTAGAATCATCTTATACATATAATATACTTGCTGTTTTTATTATTGGATTATAATATATTCTACAATTTTCATAAGGGAATTTTCTATCAAAAAACTTTAAAAAATCGAAATCTTTAATTTCGCTAAATCTACACATTTTTAAAACGAAGGTCAAATTAGTAATATTTGTGCTTTTAACATAATAAGAAAAGGTGAAAGGTGAATTTATCGTGAAACGATGCGATTTTTGGCAGAAGGAGAGCCACTATAAAATTCGAAACGATTCTTAGTATAGACATCAGTCTTTCAATCGAGATTAGTCATCTACAGATCTATCTCCAAAATGAAAACCGTATGTATACAAAAATCATAATAATCATGCATATTTATTATAAAATGAATTAAAAATAAATTAATTATACTTAATTTATTAACTTTCGAATTCAATTTAATTATTGTTTAAATTTTATTATTTATATAATATAAATAAATAATGGACATTTTAAAAAATAATAAATATGTTTAATTACTTTTAGATTGTTGTTATTTTTGTTCTGGTTGTCGTTGTTTCCGCTGCGCCTCAAGAAATAGTCCTTGTTAAAGAAACTCCTTCTGACAATGTTGGACTTGGTGGTTATAATTATGGTTTCCAACTTTCCGACGGTCAAATTAAACAGGAATCTGCAGAAGTGATCGAAGGAGGAACTGATGGTCAATTCTTACGAGTTCGAGGTACCTTCTCTTTTGTTGATCCACAAACTAATGTTGCATATACTGTAAATTATGTTGCCGATGACACTGGTTTCCATCCACAAGGAGAACATCTTCCATAAGTTTAAATTTTTCAAATATTTGATATAGAATATTCATTAATTGCTATATAATATTTTCCATTGATTGAAAATTTGATTGTTTTAAATCTTGTTTGTTTTTGAAATCAATATTATATATAGAATATATACACACTTACTTGATTATTTGTAAAATAGTATAAACTTCTATTTTTTATTTTTTATTTTGTAAAATAATTATATTAAATAAATTTGTAAAATAATTATGTTAAATAAATATCGTGTTTATGTTGAATAAATTGTTAAATAAATTGTTTAATAAATAATTATTAAAGATTTTAATTTTTAATATATATAATTGCTATAGGAATATAATTGTCTTGTTTATCTTTCACATTGATTTTCTTAACTTATTTTATTGTGTTGCACAATGACTAAAACATTTAAACATTTAGCAAATATACATGATTTTATATATATATCACTGTATAATTAATATCAGTGAATACAATTCAATTTTATTAGAAATAATATGAGAAATAATATAATTAGTTATAAGATTTTAGATTAGATTATTAGATTTAATAAATTATAATTAAATTATATTAAGCTAATAAATAATATTAAGGTAATAAGATTCTCTTTTTACTTACTAAAATCATGAAATATATATATATCCAAATTTTTTCTTTATTCTTTTTGAATAATTTAATTATGTGTATGTATTTATAGTTATAATTATATATAAGTTATAGTATACTAGATGGTGTAAAAAAAGATTGGTATTTTTGAAATATATTATAAGTTTTATAAGATATATCTATTATATTTTTTGTCTGTGCTTATATAAATATATTATCATATTCATACTTCTAGCAATTTTGCTTATATCCAAGCACCATCTACAGAAAAGATTTGAAAACATGTCGTACACGTTGTCGCATAATTGCAAAATGACAATATTTGACACGTCTCGAATTTTGTAGATTTTATGTGTTACAATGTGAATATTTTTTATGTTGTTTTTTTTGTTACGTTTATTAAATGTAGCATTGTTTAATCAGGTAAAAATTACACAAGTGATGTTCTTTATTAATATTAACATAATTTAAATAATACAATGTTTTAGTACATTTTTTAATCAACGTGTCAATTAAGGTTAAAAATCCTCTAGATATACGATATGACTGATTTGAAAAATTAACCAAACATGCCGAAATTTCGAATGCTTCCACGTACTTCGCGAATTGTAGCATTATGCTCTGCCGCGAATTTTATAAATGCGGCAGATCGAGTTATAATGCCCATAGCAATTGTTCCCATTTCTGACGAATTTAAATGGAGCTTATACTGGCAAGGTTGGATACTTTCTGCCTTTGCCTTTGGTTATTTTACTAGTCAGGTATATTAGGATATTTAATATTAAAAGTTAGTTATGACCTATTTATTTTAAGAAATTATTTAAAATCATTGTATTTATATTTAATTTTTATATTAGATTATTGGTGCAAATACAGCAAGTCGTTTTGGATGTAAAATGGTATTAATGTTGGCTGTTTTATTATGGTCTATTAGTACAGTTATAACTCCAATCTTGGCTCAATCAGTCCTATTGCTCATTATTTGTAGAGTAGTTCTAGGACTTGGAGAAGGTTTAGGTAAAATATTATTAAACAAATAATTTTACAACATCATTAATTTTGTAAATTATATATTTTTCTCTAAATTGTTATTAGGTTTACCAGTTATTTTTCACTTATTTGCACATAATGTACCTGTAGAGGAACGATCTAGAGCATTTGGATATCTTGTAGCAGCTGGCTCTGTTGGACAAGTTGTTGCATCTATTGTATGTTTAAAATGTATATTATATTATATGTAATTGTATATTATAATATTATTTCCTATATTTTATTAAAAAATATTTATTGATAATTATTTCATTTAAAAGATAAAAAATACTTACAGTTGTGTCCTCATTTGTCATGGCAAACAGGATTTTATTTATTTGGTATAATTGGTATTATATGGACACTTTTATGGTTATTATTATATCATGAAACTAATTCTCAAGATGAAATCCCATTATTTGTACCTAAGGTAAAACAGATAATTTGTTTAAATTATGTTTTATTTTAAATAAATATTTTAGAATTAATTATATTTCAATTTTAAGACAACACAAAATAGAAGTTTGCGTTGGACTGAATTTATTTCACATTGGCCTTTATGGGCATTGTATATAGCACATTTTGCAATGAATTGGAGTAACTATATAATAATGCAATGGTTACCAACTTACTTGGCTAGAAATCTTTCTGCTAATAAAGAAAGTATTAGTTTAACAGCACTTCCATATATTGTGAACTCTCTTGTTGGTATTGGTATGTATTATACAATATTTTTATTTTATAAAAAAATTATGAAAAATTAAATATTTCAATTATTTCATTACAGTTGCTGGACATAGTGCTGATAATCTCATACAAAAAAGGTGGCCAGTCTTATCTGTAAGAAGATTAATGACAAATATAGGTTTAATTGGTCCTGGTGCATTTTTACTAGCATTTTGTGCTGTGGATAATTTACTTGCTGCAGTAATGTTAGTCTTACAATTAAATTAGTCATTAGTTATAAAATAATTTTTTATTTTAATTTTATAACATAACTTAAAATCATATTTATCAATAGCTTTGTATCAATATCTATGGGACTTTGTGCATGTAATTCTGCTGGTCATCTTAGTAATCACGCAGATATAGCTCCAAATCATGCGGGAATCACATTTGCAGTTTCCAATACTATTGTATGTCTTTATCTATTAGCATTACAAATATTTTACAAATAATAGTTAAATTAGTAATTTAACTATATATTTTAGGCAACTATACCGGGTATTTTATGTGGTCCATTAACAGCTGAATTAGTGACTGCATCGCATGGTCGTTGGATGCCTGTTTTCGTGTTAGCTGCGGCAATCAATTTTACAGGGGCCATCATATACCAAAGTCACAGTGCAGCTTTACCAGTATTGTGATATGTAATGAGCAAAATCGTGTTCACAAATATTTATTATCGAAGAAACATAATTGATAAAAATATGTTGCATAAACATACTTTCTTCGACCATGATCATTGAATACGAATTTTATTGAAAATTTTATCACTTATAATAAGATACCAATATGGCACATTTATGACACATTGGTTAGTTGAAAATATATCAATGTATTAGACACATATAGAATAAGAAAGTTTTACATTTTTTGCGTTCAGTTTGCAGTTCACGGCATAATGCTGGTCATTCATTAGAATAGTGCCATAATTTTTTCATGGCGGAATTGGTTAAACAACTTTTTTAAGTGAATTGTAAAATACATTAGCCTATGTGCTGTATTTTTAGTTTGTATATTTTTTAATGATACTAACAACAAATATTTTGTGATAATTTTAATATATAAATAAACGAAAATTCTCATTTTTTCATATAGAAAATAAATGTATATTCTGTAAAACACAAGACTGTATATAAAAGAAAAAACAAATTAATTTTCACATATTCAAATTTATATATGTATTTGAAGCACTTTCATATAAAAAGATATAATTAAATAAGCAATGTACTGTACTACATTTAATGAAAAAAATATGTTTTCTATATCGTTTGAAAATATTTTTCAAATATTATTCCTATATCTTTTTTACTATTTAATTTTATTTATTATTTTTATTTATTATCATATAATTTTACTATTTATAATATCATTCTTGTTTCTAAATTTATGTGAGTATGCATAAATTCAATTTTAATATTTCAATATTTAAAGTTCTACATAGGTTTTAAGGATGTGTCTTTTTTCAAATATTCTGATTGAAGTACATGACATAATGCATTTCGAGGATAGTTATTATTCAATGCATGCAAACCCATTTCTATGAAAGCATTGTCTTTATACATATTTTTAGTTTGGATTGAACTATCGTTATTTATTTTATTATTATATTGTGTTGAAGGATTATTATCTTCTTTTGGTGATAACATTTTTGTAGTTACTTCTTTTATTTTTGTACTTTCAATTTTTTGATCTAATGTTGTTTGTATAGAATTTTCTTTCTTTATACTTTTCAATTTTTCTTGTTGTAGGAAACTCTGTTGTGGGAAATCTTCAGAATTGTCAATATCGTATAAATCGAAAGAATTTATATTTAGCTTTTTCAACATATTTGCTATATCGTCAGTAGGAACGTCTAAGTCTTTAATTTCCAATTCCTTTTTACTAACTGAATTCTTTTCTACGTCATTAATATATTTGTCCAAATATTGTTCAATATCAGAATTAATCTTTTTTAAATTTATTGAACTATTTGTGCCTATATTTCGTTTATTCAACCGCAAATTGTTATTTAATTTTGTACCACTTTTAGTATTTTGAATTTGTATATTGGAAAAAAGAGATTTTTTTTCAATTTTTTTATTGCACACATCTTTTGATGAAATTACTTCTAATGAACTATTTTTTAGAGTATCATTCGGTATATTGTTTATTTTATCATCAACTATTTTTTTATTTTCTTTAGAAAAGAGCATGTGTTTGATTTTTCCCGCTTTTTCATCAAAAGATAATTCTGATTTTATTTCGCCTCGTTGCAAATATTGATTTGATTTCGGATTCAAATAGAGTTTTTGAATTTTATCTATTTCAAGTGTCATTCTTTCTAACGTATCATATAATTTTCTCGTTCGAACATTTTTATAATTTTTATTTTGAGTCCATCCGCCATCTGTACGTAATGCTCGCCAATCTGATTTTACTTTTTCAACTTCTCGATCGATATCGTTAACATGTTTGTCTGAAAAATCAATTTTTAAACATTTTTATAAACATTTTTATAACGATATATAAATATGTTTCATATATATTTCATAAAATAGTTAATAAATATATATTTGATTTATCTAATACTTTTAATCTTATTTTTTATAAATCATTTTGAAATAATTGAAATACATGAAATGTATTAGTGAAAGATAAATGTTTAAAATTTTAAGTGTCATTAATTAATATTAAATATAATGAATATAATAATAATGAATATTTTAAATACTATGCAATCATGAATAAAGGATAAATATTAAATTTTAATTATATTTTATATTGAATTTTAAGGTAAATATAAAATAAATTGTTTATCAAAAAGAATTTATGTAAAGATCTTACGTCTTGCACTACGATTTTTAATCAATCGTTCTTCAACATTTATTTCTTGTTTTTTTATAGTAGGTAAATTAGCATTTTTTCCATAATTAGTTACATTTTCGTGTTTTCCCGAATTTCCTAGTATAGTATCGCTACGCGGATGTAATTTTGGTAACACTGCCTGTGTCTGAATATTATTGAAACTTTGCTTATCATTTATAAGTTTCATAGATAAATCTAAAAACACAATAGTGAAATATAAATTTTTAATCAAACTAAAAAGATATTCATATTTTATATTCATAGAAAATAGTATACCACCTTGTGCGATATTAGATGGATTTCGTGCTCCTTTTGTTGTCGTTGCATTATTAGAAATTGATATGGAATTTCCAAATGGATTGAACTCGTATACGAAATTATGTGTTGCTGGAACCCTCTTCGGGATTCTTTTTGTTTTCTTTGAGACAGTTTCTAGAGGCTATCAATATTTTCCAACGTATTAATAATTCCAAGTAAGTTATTTAAAGTACAATGACAGGTGCCAGTATTTATTCAGTATAAAAATATAATTGAAAATGAAAAATATTCTTGGGAACAATTATACTGAAATCAATATAACATATCTAACTTTATTTAACCTCCATCCAGATATCTTTTCTTCGGAAGCATCGGTTTTGGTTCGTATCTTTTCTTTTGGTTTGTAACGAAGACTCACATCCGATGAAACTTGTTTCTCATGAACATTCGGCGTAGAGTTCGGTGATTCTTTCTTGTTAATTTTGACAAAACGCGGCCTGTGAAATTCCATAAATCAGTCTTTTCGAAAAACCCATCACCGTTTCGTGCAACACTTCATTTTTGCAAAACTTCAATTTCCATTGTTCTCGTACTAACATCATAGACGTATTTTTCGCTTAATGCATTCGCTTTTGTTCGGCATTACAAAGAAAAGCTTGAATTAATCTTATCGTAATATTTTTCTTTCTTTATCTTTTTCTAATTTTTACATATTTCAGTTAAAATATCGAATCTTACTTGTTGTAAATGTTGACACGAGTGTATTCGTCGATGATTTTCTCGGGTTTCACGAAATGTCGAAAATTAAATATAACTTTATTTCCTTCCTTGGAGAAGATAGGTCCTGAACGAACGCGTTTCCTTTTGGTGGAACTCCAAATGTATTTGCACCAATTTTTGTATTCACTGAAATATATAGAATGTTTTATAATTGATAATATAAAGTGATTCTATGTAAAAAAAATAAGTTGAAAATATTTTTTCATTTAAAATTAGTTTTCGAAAAAAAATAATTTGAAAATTATATCGTCAATTATAAGAATCTTTATATATTCAATTTAATTTTATCAAAAACAAGAATTTAAGTGATTTTATTCTACATTTTGTGTTTATATATGAATAGGAATCATCTATTGATAGTTTATTCATACCTAATTAACTTTAATTATTAATATTTAATTTTAATTATAATTTATAAATTGAAAATTTTTCAAACTTATTTTATTTGAAAATGAAGTCTTAAATGAAAAAATTTTATTCTATATTTTCGATTTATTTTTTCAAAAAAATTACATTCTGTACAGTTACAAGATATTCTATATTTTTCTTATTTATTACTAATATTTATTATTAATATAAATTTCATTTTAATAATTATTTTTATTTTATTTATTTATTTATTTATTTTCTTTAAAATACTTTAATTTCTTATTAATATTAGAATTATTTGTCTATCTTTTTGTCAATTATTTAATTACATGTTTTTTTCTTCTAAAATTAATCAAATTGTTGCTCAAAATGTATTCAAAAGATTTATGTTTTGTATTTTATTTTTATTTAATTTGAGCTTTTTATACCTGGATTTATCAGTTTTATTCTGTGAAATTTCTTTGTGCTCGAATTTCGGTTCTATTTCTTTAACAAACACAGACAATCCATTGATACGTTTAACTTCGCGATTCTGATCCTTTGATTCAGGATACAATTGCAAAAAAGCTGGAGCACAGTGCAATCTGGAGCAACTTGGAAATCCCTCGAAAGCTTTCGCCAGTTCCAGAAATAGTTGTCGCACTCTTTCTATATTTTAAGACTTTAACTTTGTTTAATTCATAACCTAGTAAAAAAATATTGCATCAAAGATGGCATATATAAAAAACAAAATAAAATTAGTTTTGTATCGATATTTTTTAGTGTTGCTAATTTCTGAATTATTCCATTAAATTTCTCAATATTCTCCAGATTTTCTAATGCGATGAAAAACTTATGTATATAAATATTTTTTTAATTAAAAATTGAAGAAGATATATTAAATATTAATAAGTTAAACTAATGATAAAGAGAATAGATTTATTTTTCTTCAAAAACATTTCTTTTTCTAAAATAATATTAAAATATAAAATAAAGAATTATAATGTACATTTGTAATATATTTATTATATATATTGCAATGTATATAATTATATTAATATATTTATTATTTACTATATATAATTGTAAAGAATAATTTTTTTTAATGAATTTATAATTCTCCTTTTTCTTTACTTTCTTTTTCTTATTTTTTATGTTCAGCATTTCTCTGTAGCATTTTATATTTTTTAAAAATAATTTTAAAATTCTGAAATTTTGATTTTTAATAATATTTAATAATTCATTTTATAATTTATTCTTTTTTTTTTTAATCGTATATAGTTATAATGTGATATTTACATCCGCTTTTTGCGATAATAAATACCTATACTTCCGGAGATTAGAAAAGAAAAAAACTACGTAGCTTTGATTTTCCTTTTATTACGTATTAATAATTAATTATCAGAACATATTTTATCCTACATATGTTTCATTGATTAAAATATGAATATACTTTTATTTAAAGAATATAATGCCTTTTTTTATCATTATACTGTTGTATTCTTGTTTTGTTATTCTATTTTATATAATTGTTATTCTATTTTTTTATTTTATATATATTTTCTATCAATATAAATCAATACTTATCCAAAATTGAACGAAAATGAAGCTCACATACGCTCTGCAAATGTTACCAATTCGAAATTTGATTAATTAAAGAGAACATTTGAAAGTACATGTGATATTGACATTCCAAAATTTACATTAACCCTCATATCTCGAAATTATGTTCATTACAGTGCCAAATATTTTTTGATTTCTTTTCGTTTCAGCCGTTGATTCATCTTTTGCAATTTTGAAATATTACCGTCTCAATGAATCCCGTATGGATAACATCACAATGCCAAGTGAAAATAATCCCACATATAACGAAACGTTATCCTACGAAGCACACATGCTCCAAGAAATTCTGAGAATAAACGAATTGATGATGAAACAGGCTTACCAAAGCAATGAAGAATTTCGTGGTAATAATAAAGTTTCACACAAAAATTATGCCAGAAATTCGATGAATCGGAATAATATTTCTGCGAAAAAACTTAGCGACGAGGCACGTGAAATACATTTTCGAATGATTTCAAAAAGTGTTTCATCACTGCAAGGAAAAAATGTTTCTTCGAACACTACTGTGTTCAAAGTGCATTCAAAAACTACATTGAAGAAGACAGAATCCAAAAATAATAAGTATCCTGAAGCCGACACTTCTTCGAAGAAAGATACATCTTCGAAACGTAATAGTAACAAACAATCTTTTAAAGTAAACATGAATATTGACGATAAATTAGATATTATTGATCCATTACTACAGGAAGAATGTGTCGCTTCTTCTCTTAAAAAAGAAAAAAATAAAATTTTCCCAAAGAGAATACGAAACATAGGAGATAGAATTGTTGATGATAATACTGTTAATAATCCTGTTGAATTGGTAGAGATTTACAAAAAGGAAATAAACAGTGAGAATGATTTAAATCGAGAAACGAGTTCGATAAGAACTTTTTCGAAGGAAAATAACGAGCAATGTGAAGTTGAGGAGAATGAGTTTGCATCGTCGAAAATAAAATCAAAGAAGCATAAAAAAGAAAGCTATAATGTTAAGAACATGGAAGAGATAGACAAAATCGACAAAATTGAAGATTTTCAAATAAAATATATACAAGAAAATGATCAAAATGATGAAAATATACAAAAAAAATACATACAAGAAGAAAATGATTTTAATGAAGGTTTTCATCATCAGGAAAATTTCACATCAAAAAATAATCTTATTAATGAAGATTTACAGAAGAAATATACACAGGAAAATTATGAAAATAACGAAAATTTTGATACTTTTAAACGAAATATATCAGAGACTACTTTTTCTATTAAATCGACTCAAGATGAAGAAGATCGAATCATTAATATGGTACATACATTGAATCCTATAGAAAATGAAACAATAGAATGGAAGGAACAAAATGATTTAAATGAAGATTCGTTACTTACTTTGGAAGAAGTTAATCCACGTGTAAATTTGGTTACGATTTTCGAAGTGAGTGAAAAAACGTGCACAAACGAGAAAATGGAGAAATTGGATGGAAAAAATGGTCTTAAAAAATCTGAAGCATCTGAAAATATGCAAAGATGTAGCACAAAAGGAACAGATGATTTATCTATCTGCGAAAATACCAAGATTTCGAAGTCACAAAAATTATGTGCCAATACTATTGAAAACATACATTCTTTAGAACATAATAAATATATAAATAATATTATGATAGTAAATAAGGAAAAAAAAGATATATCAACAATTACAATAGAAGAAGAGGAACACCAAAATAATGATTCAATTATATTGCCAAAAACGACGAAAAGCAACGATTCTTTCATTGAAAATTCTTCAAGATTATTGGATTCTGATTTTTTAAAATCCAATGAATTAGCAGATAATGAATTAATGAAAAAGCAAAAAGAAAATATTTCAGTGATTGAAAAGGAAGAAATTCCTAAAGAAAACCATCAAGACAATAATTGGATTTTTTTTCTACAACCAAATAATAAAAATACGGAAAAATTATATATAAAAACTGATAATCTTAATTCTATTGAAAGAATAAATTTTCCAAACGATTACAAGTATACTGATGATATTAACTCTGCAAAGATAGAAGAGAATTCTATGTTTAAGAATAAAGAAAATAGTAAAATGAATCATGGTGAAGATAATTTAAATATTGATTCTTATAAATCGAATACGTTTAGTGAATCTTCTATTATCTTAAATGAAAACGAAATTTCAAAAATATCGATGCAACGTAATAATAGAATTGATAATATTAAGGATTCAAGCAGTAACTTGTCATCAGACAGAGAAACCATTAATAGAATAATAAACAAAAAATTAAAACTAAAAAGAAGAAATTCAAATACAGATTTATCGGGAAAAAACAAAATCAAAGTAGTGATTGAGAAACGGGAAAATAAAAAAAATGATAATGATAAGAATATAATTGATGACGATAAAACTTATTTGTGCGATGAAAATGTACA